ACATTTTCAAGCCGAAGAGGATTCTCTCAAAGATCTGCTACCGATTGGTAGCACATTTTCAAGGCGAAGAGGATTCTCTCAAAGATCTGCTACCGATTGGTAGCACATTTTCTAGCCGAAGAGGATTCTCTCAAAGATCTGCTACCGAATGGTAGCACATTTTCAAGCCGAAGAGGATTCTCTCAAAGATCTGCTACCGATTGGTAGCACATTTTCAAGGCGAAGAGCAGTCGCTCGAAGATCTGCTACCGAATGGTAGCACATTTTCAAGCCGAAGAGGATTCTCTCAAAGATCTGCTACCGAATGGTAGCACATTTTCAAGCCGAAGAGGATTCTCTCAAAGATCTGCTATCGATTGGTAGCACATTTTCAAGCCGAAGAGGATTCTCTCAAAGATCTGCTATCGATTGGTAGCACATTTTCAAGCCGAAGAGGATTCTCTCAAAGATCTGCTACCGAATGGTAGCACATTTTCAAGCCGAAGAGGATTCTCTCAAAGATCTGCTATCGATTGGTAGCACATTTTCAAGCCGAAGAGGATTCTCTCAAAGATCTGCTACCGATTGGTAGCACATTTTCTAGCCGAAGAGGATTCTCTCAAAGATCTGCTACCGAATGGTAGCACATTTTCAAGCCGAAGAGGATTCTCTCAAAGATCTGCTACCGATTGGTAGCACATTTTCAAGGCGAAGAGGATTCTCTCAAAGATCTGCTATCGATTGGTAGCACATTTTCAAGCCGAAGAGGATTCTCTCAAAGATCTGCTACCGAATGGTAGCACATTTTCAAGCCGAAGAGGATTCTCTCAAAGATCTGCTACCGATTGGTAGCACATTTTCAAGGCGAAGAGCAGTCGCTCGAAGATCTGCTACCGATTGGTAGCACATTTTCAAGGCGAAAAGCAGTCGCTCGAAGATCTGCTACCGAATGGTAGCACATTTTCAAGCCGAAGAGGATTCTCTCAAAGATCTGCTACCGATTGGTAGCACATTTTCAAGGCGAAGAGGATTCTCTCAAAGATCTGCTATCGATTGGTAGCACATTTTCAAGCCGAAGAGGATTCTCTCAAAGATCTGCTATCGATTGGTAGCACATTTTCAAGCCGAAGAGGATTCTCTCAAAGATCTGCTACCGAATGGTAGCACATTTTCAAGCCGAAGAGGATTCTCTCAAAGATCTGCTATCGATTGGTAGCACATTTTCAAGCCGAAGAGGATTCTCTCAAAGATCTGCTACCGAATGGTAGCACATTTTCAAGCCGAAGAGGATTCTCTCAAAGATCTGCTACCGATTGGTAGCACATTTTCAAGGCGAAGAGCAGTCGCTCGAAGATCTGCTACCGATTGGTAGCACATTTTCAAGGCGAAAGCAGTCGCTCGAAGATCTGCTACCGATTGGTAGCACATTTTCAAGCCGAAGAGCAGTCGCTCGAAGATCTGCGACCGATTGGTAGCACATTTTCAAGCCGAAGAGGATTCTCTCAAAGATCTGCTACCGATTGGTAGCACATTTTCAAGCCGAAGAGGATTCTCTCAAAGATCTGCTACCGAATGGTAGCACATTTTCAAGCCGAAGAGGATTCTCTCAAAGATCTGCTACCGATTGGTAGCACATTTTCAAGGCGAAGAGGATTCTCTCAAAGATCTGCTACCGATTGGTAGCACATTTTCTAGCCGAAGAGGATTCTCTCAAAGATCTGCTACCGATTGGTAGCACATTTTCTAGCCGAAGAGGATTCTCTCAAAGATCTGCTACCGAATGGTAGCACATTTTCAAGCCGAAGAGGATTCTCTCAAAGATCTGCTACCGATTGGTAGCACATTTTCAAGGCGAAGAGGATTCTCTCAAAGATCTGCTACCGATTGGTAGCACATTTTCTAGCCGAAGAGGATTCTCTCAAAGATCTGCTACCGAATGGTAGCACATTTTCCGGCCGAAGAGGATTCTCTCAAAGATCTGCTACCGATTGGTAGCACATTTTCAAGGCGAAGAGCAGTCGCTCGAAGATCTGCTACCGATTGGTAGCACATTTTCAAGGCGAAAAGCAGTCGCTCGAAGATCTGCTACCGATTGGTAGCACATTTTCAAGGCGAAGAGGATTCTCTCAAAGATCTGCTACCGATTGGTAGCACATTTTCTAGCCGAAGAGGATTCTCTCAAAGATCTGCTACCGAATGGTAGCACATTTTCAAGCCGAAGAGGATTCTCTCAAAGATCTGCTACCGATTGGTAGCACATTTTCAAGCCGAAGAGGATTCTCTCAAAGATCTGCTACCGATTGGTAGCACATTTTCAAGCCGAAGAGGATTCTCTCAAAGATCTGCTACCGAATGGTAGCACATTTTCAAGCCGAAGAGGATTCTCTCAAAGATCTGCTACCGATTGGTAGCACATTTTCAAGGCGAAGAGGATTCTCTCAAAGATCTGCTATCGATTGGTAGCACATTTTCAAGCCGAAGAGGATTCTCTCAAAGATCTGCTACCGATTGGTAGCACATTTTCAAGGCGAAGAGCAGTCGCTCGAAGATCTGCTACCGATTGGTAGCACATTTTCAAGGCGAAAAGCAGTCGCTCGAAGATCTGCTACCGATTGGTAGCACATTTTCAAGGCGAAGAGCAGTCGCTCGAAGATCTGCTACCGATTGGTAGCACATTTTCAAGGCGAAGAGCAGTCGCTCGAAGATCTGCGACCGATTGGTAGCACATTTTCAAGCCGAAGAGGATTCTCTCAAAGATCTGCTACCGATTGGTAGCACATTTTCTAGCCGAAGAGGATTCTCTCAAAGATCTGCTACCGAATGGTAGCACATTTTCCGGCCGAAGAGGATTCTCTCAAAGATCTGCTACCGATTGGTAGCACATTTTCTAGCCGAAGAGGATTCTCTCAAAGATCTGCTACCGAATGGTAGCACATTTTCCGGCCGAAGAGGATTCTCTCAAAGATCTGCTACCGATTGGTAGCACATTTTCAAGCCGAAGAGGATTCTCTCAAAGATCTGCTACCGATTGGTAGCACATTTTCAAGGCGAAGAGCAGTCGCTCGAAGATCTGCTACCGATTGGTAGCACATTTTCAAGCCGAAGAGGATTGTCTCAAAGATCTGCTACCGAATGGTAGCACATTTTCAAGCCGAAGAGGATTGTCTCAAAGATCTGCTACCGAATGGTAGCACATTTTCAAGCCGAAGAGGATTCTCTCAAAGATCTGCTACCGAATGGTAGCACATTTTCAAGGCGAAGAGGATTCTCTCAAAGATCTGCTACCGAATGGTAGCACATTTTCAAGGCGAAGAGCAGTCGCTCGAAGATCTGCTACCGATTGGTAGCACATTTTCAAGCCGAAGAGGATTGTCTCAAAGATCTGCTACCGAATGGTAGCACATTTTCAAGCCGAAGAGGATTGTCTCAAAGATCTGCTACCGAATGGTAGCACATTTTCAAGCCGAAGAGGATTCTCTCAAAGATCTGCTACCGAATGGTAGCACATTTTCAAGGCGAAGAGGATTCTCTCAAAGATCTGCTACCGATTGGTAGCACATTTTCAAGCCGAAGAGGATTCTCTCAAAGATCTGCTACCGATTGGTAGCACATTTTCAAGGCGAAGAGGATTCTCTCAAAGATCTGCTACCGATTGGTAGCACATTTTCAAGCCGAAGAGGATTCTCTCAAAGATCTGCTACCGATTGGTAGCACATTTTTCAAGCCGAAGAGGATTCTCTCAAAGATCTGCTACCGATTGGTAGCACATTTTCAAGGCGAAGAGCAGTCGCTCGAAGATCTGCTACCGATTGGTAGCACATTTTCAAGGCGAAGAGCAGTCGCTCGAAGATCTGCTACCGAGTGGTAGCACATTTTCAAGGCGATGAGGATTCTCTCAAAGATCTGCTACCGATTGGTAGCACATTTTCAAGGCGAAGAGCAGTCGCTCGAAGATCTGCTACCGATTGGTAGCACATTTTCAAGCCGAAGAGGATTCTCTCAAAGATCAGCTACCGAATGGTAGCACATTTTCAAGCCGAAGAGGATTCTCTCAAAGATCTGCTACCGATTGGTAGCACATTTTCAAGGCGAAGAGGATTCTCTCAAAGATCTGCTACCGATTGGTAGCACATTTTCAAGCCGAAGAGGATTCTCTCAAAGATCTGCTACCGAATGGTAGCACATTTTCAAGCCGAAGAGGATTCTCTCAAAGATCTGCTACCGATTGGTAGCACATTTTCAAGGCGAAGAGGATTCTCTCAAAGATCTGCTACCGATTGGTAGCACATTTTCAAGCCGAAGAGGATTCTCTCAAAGTTCTGCTACCGATTGGTAGCACATTTTCAAGCCGAAGAGGATTCTCTCAAAGATCTGCTACCGAATGGTAGCACATTTTCAAGCCGAAGAGGATTCTCTCAAAGATCTGCTACCGAATGGTAGCACATTTTCAAGCCGAAGAGGATTCTCTCAAAGATCTGCTACCGATTGGTAGCACATTTTCAAGGCGAAGAGGATTCTCTCAAAGATCTGCTACCGATTGGTAGCACATTTTCAAGGCGAAGAGCAGTCGCTCGAAGATCTGCTACCGATTGGTAGCACATTTTCAAGCCGAAGAGGATTCTCTCAAAGATCTGCTACCGATTGGTAGCACATTTTCAAGGCGAAGAGGATTCTCTCAAAGATCTGCTACCGATTGGTAGCACATTTTCAAGGCGAAGAGGATTCTCTCAAAGATCTGCTACCGATTGGTAGCACATTTTCAAGGCGAAGAGGATTCTCTCAAAGATCTGCTACCGATTGGTAGCACATTTTCAAGGCGAAGAGGATTCTCTCAAAGATCTGCTACCGATTGGTAGCACATTTTCAAGGCGAAGAGGATTCTCTCAAAGATCTGCTACCGATTGGTAGCACATTTTCAAGGCGAAGAGCAGTCGCTCGAAGATCTGCGACCGATTGGTAGCACATTTTCAAGGCGAAGAGGATTCTCTCAAAGATCTGCTACGTTTCAAAACTGTTTCCAGATGCTGATCCACTTCATCATCGCCGACCACCACAGCCGCGCCGAGCTGATGGTGCTCTGGTTCACCGAGCTGTACACGCAGTATTTAGGGTGCGCTAGTTTCTCGCGGAGTCATTTTTGCTTTTCCAGGTACAGCTTCTGCGGGGCGGACAAGTCCGACAAGCAGGCGGCGAAAGAAGCCGCCCTCGGGAAGTACAACATGATCGTCGACAAGTTTTTGCGGAAGCTCGTGGCAAAGGGGTTGCTGAACGAGATGTAAGCGCGATTTTGGCTTTTTCGACGGCTTCATCGCGTATTTAATTTTTTTGTGAATTTCAGAAGCGCAAGTTTCTAGATTTTGATTCACTTAGAAATTAAAAAAAGAAATTTACTTGGCTTATTGAATTTTCTGACCGATTTTCACAAATTTGTCCAATTCACTTTCACCAAATCTACTCATTGGCTCCTCAGGCCGTAATTCAATTAATTTAGACCGTATTAAAATTCACAAAGATTAAATTTGAGACAAAAACGAGGCCTTTTGTCAAATTTTTCGGTATTTTTGGGCTCTAGGAGCCATTTTGACGCTTTTTTTGACTCCTCAGGCCGTATTTGTCACGTTTTCCTCCAATTCAGGGTCTTCCACCGCTTCTACCTGGAAGCCCCCCCTGCTCAGCCCGGCGGCAATGACTATATTCAAGGAGGCCTGCTTGTCACAGGTCAAACCAGCCTTTTTGACGCTGATCATCTCCTTTTCAGTCGTACGGCCTAGAGATATTTTTATTCAGATACGACTAAGCCGGAAATTCAACTAAGTCGATTCCGCTCACTCATATTCAAATAAGCATCCTTTAATCGACTAAGGCTATCCCAATCTGAATAAGGATTCTCTAATTCGAATAGGCTTAGTCGAATTAGTCGAATCTTAGCCGAGTAAGCTCATTCCTGACTTTCCTTTGCTAAAATTTGGCAAAGTGAGATTTCCATCAACAGAATTTCCGGGTATTTCCATTTTTTCATAGCAATTCCTCGTTCGCATTTGGCATTCGGCGAACCTTAGTGCGAGAACGTTAGTTGCTTGCATATCTTAGTTGAATAATAACATCTCTAGTACGGCCACATCTGCTTGATCACGCTTCGCGAGATGATCATCGGCCGGGTCGACTTCCGCGAGACGTTACTCCGGCTGTTGATCGACATCAGCGTCCAGGACGTGGCGGGGTGAGTAGCGGCTACTCGATCGAGTATCACGGCTTTTAGACGTCGGTGGAGGCCTCCAAGACGGCAAAGGAGTTGTTCACGTTCCGCTTCATCCGGGACATCCTCGTCAGGCTGCTCAAGGACAATCTCCAGAAGTGCACCGTCACGCCGCCGCCACCTTCCTTCGCCAAGCCCGGCTTGCGCGTTAAAATAAACAGGCCTCTAATGCCAGCTGCTTGAATTCCCTGAACTTCTTGAAGTCGTCGCGAGCGCTTGAGCACCCTCATCCGCGTCTCGAGCCCGCCCACATCATCGCCGTCGTCCCCGGGCCAGCAGAAGTCGTGCCTGGCGCATCAGCTTGAGCCGCGCGTGCTACAAAAATTTGGAACGGAAAAATAAACAGGCCTGTATGCCGATCCATGAACTCGTTGAACTCGTCGCGGGCGCTCGGGCATTAGCATCCGCATCTTGAACCCGTCCGTCCCCGCTGTCGTCGTCGCCTCCCGGGCCGGCAGAAGTCGGGCATCGTCGGCGGCGGCGCGGGACATCGGGCGGCCCATCCCAGCGTGTAGTCGTCATCATCAAGAGGTGTACGTGACTTTAGGCAAATCGCGCTTATTTTTATACCAGATATCTTATCAAGATTACGGCCACTTTCCGGAATTCCTGGTGGCTAGTACGCTAATTCGAATTTTAAGGTATTCTTATGCAAAATGCGAAAAATTTGCAAATTTACGTTTTTATATCCCTTTTTTCAGCCAGCACCCACCGAGTGGACCGACAAACTGTACTCCATCGCCGTGCAGACGTACCTGGAGCTGATCCCGCAAGACCCCGCCCTCATCCACTACCTGGCCAGCGTGTACGCCGTCGGAAACAATTTGCTGAAAAAGGTAAGCTTTTGAAATTCTACGCATAGCTTGACGTTGTTTTAATCAAACCTTAAAATACCTCAAAAGTTTAAATTTTAAAAAATGCAAAAATAGTAATTGCGTGAGCGTGAAAATAACGTATTTTTGCGCTAATGATCATCTACCCTTTTCAGGCGATACTCCAAAAAATCGAGCTGCCCATCGCCAACCACACGGACACGTCAGAGATTGTCAACCTGATCAACAACTGCCCGCAGAAAGCCGAGACGCTGGTGGCGCGTATCGTCCACGTGCTATCTGTTAATAGTAAGGATTCGTTAGCTACTTAATTTTTACCAGGGTTGAAAAGCCGCTTCGCGACTTTTCAACCCTGGCCCCGTGTCGAAAGCAAAAGCTCCCCTGACCCTCCCAGAGTGTAAATACACCATCGGGGATAAACCCGAAGGGGAGAGCCAGGGGTTTGCCACCTCTTGCCTCCGGCCCTATCAACCACTGGAATACTAATGCGCGCTCGGTGTTCAGATGGTAGTAATACAGTGCATTTGCTAAAGACCTGGAAATGGATTAAGAGAACACGTTTATTAGAAGTACAGAATATATCGGCACAGGTAAAAGGGTGTCTGACAGGGAAAATACAGAGTGTCGAAGACAAGGCAGACGAGAGTGTTTGGGGTGTCGAACGGTTGCATTCGCCTGAGGTTTACTGTGCCCCGGATAGTGGTAAACCACGTCCCCGGCTCACAGCACTCTCACCAAGCCGTGCCGAAGCAACGACTGGCCGCAACACCCTTTCGGGATAGCGGGGGGAATTGCGAGAGCAATTAATCCCAGAGAGCGCCGGAGGGCGCTGGCACAGCCCGCTACGATAGGATCGTCGCGGCGAGACCCTTGGCATGTTGCCAACCCCTGTTATCCCGCGTAATTCATCCTCGAAACTCCTAGGAGATGAAATCTCGTAGGAAAGTTTCGACACTCCCGGCCCGCGCTGAGCCAGAAAGTGCCGCCACCGGTGAGGGCAGCAAGGGGAAACTACGACAGGGAGGTTGAGTGGGAGCCTCGCGGCAGCCCAAAAATTTACAAACTCGTCGGCCCGGCCCGGGGGAAATGGTGGGTACAGAGGGACCATATACAGGTGGAATATAAAACTGTACTGGGGGGCGGGAGGACGAAAGTTGGTAAGTAAAACCTAGGGGATAGGGCAACTGACAATAAAATAGTTGGACGGCGCTAAGGAGCCCGTACTCCTGCCGTACCAACTGGGGAAAGGGAAGGGAACTTATCGGATTGTGTCGTAGAGTTGGCGGTGAGCTTGTGACGCTGACGAGAAGGCGCAATGCTAGATGTCGGTAGTCGTCCGGCAGGTTGCGCTTGAACGACGGCGTGGCCATTGAACTTGTGTCACAGAGGCGGCTAGTCGGTGGCGGTGAAGGTTCCGAAGGACCTTGAGTGTCGCGGATGGCAGGGGAAGAATCCTCTCACGAAACCTCCTTCAGCCAAAAATGTCGTAATGCAAGAAGGCGATGACGCAAAGTAGCTTGGCACCTCGACGTTGACGAGAAACCATTAGCAAAAGCGGATGTCGAACATCTTCCTGTCGGGTACTTGGCGGCCCGGTAGAATGAACATGGCGCCGCAGAGAAATTGAGGAGCGTAGAACTTGTCGATCCAATTGGCTCGCGGCGGCCCAAGTGACTTTCCATGAGCTTGACGATTGCATAGGCAAGGCGGCGTTGATCAATGAAGTTGTGCTTGTAAACGGAGTGATGAGACGAATTGCGCAAAGGCGAGGCCGGGTTCCGCATTGTAAGCGGGCCCAGCTGTCTCGAAAAACTCCGTCTCACAAGTGGCTTCTTGAAGGGGCTCGGTTGTCGGCCAGTAGGTGTTCGAGTGCTTTGCATCCTCGGTGCATGTGGGCGACGTGAAGATGACGCGTCGTCTGTAGCGGAGGCTGCCTTGAAGAACTTCATGATGAGGCCACGATGAACTGTGGTGTCGACGAGACCGAAGTGGGTACGGTGTCTTTTCATCCAGATGTGCTTTCGCTTCTGTAGACAGAACCTGTTGTGGCGAAGAAGCGGAAATGGAAGTGATGGCAGCGCACGGGTGGCGTCGAGTTGAGACAGATGACGGTTGCGATCAGCGCTTGTGTGAAGAACTTGTAGCGGTAGAGTGACAAGAGGCGGGAGACGGGAACTTGCAGATTTGGTGAAGCAGAACAGCGGCATAGAGCGCGGTGCTGAGTCGCTTGTCGTTTCAGTTTTCACGAAAAAACTGAAGACCGCAGGAGTAGTCCGTTTCCATAGGGTAGCCGTCGTTACTTGGCAGTCGAATCGCTGCGTTTACACGAAGCTCTTGCTGCTCAACGTATGTGTCGACGCCTTGCGTGTGTCGCTTTTCGTTGTCGTGATGGTCCCATCTGTCCTTGGGATAGGGCTCATTGGCAGGGATCATTGGCTCAACGGCATCGACGGGAGAGCTGTCGGTGCTAGAGCTGCTGTGATGTTGTGGTCGCTTGTCGGCTTCGATGATCGTCTCCTGGCGCTTCGAGAGTGTAGCCGTAGACTTGCGTTGACGAAGGCTATGGAATTTGCTGTGGTGACGACCCCCGCAGGTGTCGCATCGACTGGCGTTGCACTGCGATTTGTTGTGGTCGGATTCCAAGCACACTTGGCAACGATCGTTGTCGATGACGTTGTCCCACTGAGCTTGAGTACCCGTCAGTTTGTCGCAGTCGGTGGGCCGGTGTCCTGCAGTGCGGCAGAACGGGCATTTTGTTGTCAGAGAAGTGACGTCGTAGCGGTAGAGTTCGACCGAACGGCGTGTCGAATAGCCACGGGTGTGTTTTTGAAGTTCCAACACCATATCGAGTAGATCCATGCTGGAGACAGCATCCGGAAACTTCACCATGAACGATTCGCCAACGGCTGGAGGAAACTTCTTCAGTAGCTGCTGCTTGATGTGAACTTCATTGCAGTTGTTGTCCTTGAGCTCAGTGGCAGACTTGCGAAGAACGCCGAAGAAGGTGTCGAGGTCCTTGTAGTCTGCAGTGAGCGGCGGGAGTTTCATCATAGCACGCATCGCACGAACTTGTCTCTCAGCGGCTTGGTAGTAGGTGTCGAAGAGTTGAAGCACAGCGGCGCAGAGTCCATGGGCGTTCATCGGATACAAATCGATTGTCAGCTCCAGGCGGGGATCGACGGACATGCGCAGCAAATCAAGTTTCTCCCCATCAGTAACGCATACCTGGTTGGCCTTTTCGAGGAAGCGCATCCAGAAGGTGCGGAACTCGCCAGTGCCATCAAACTTCGCCTTCTTGCCATCGTATTGGAGCACGAACAGGCCTCCGCGGTACTGCAGACGAGCGTCGCGGGATGCTTGCGTGTTGAACTGCTCGAAGAGGTGTCGTCCATCGGAGGTAACCAGCATGTGGCGCGGCAACGTCTTGTTGATCATGTCGATCTCATCAGTTTGTAGTTGTACGGAAGGAGTGTCTTGTTCGAGCGGCTGTGGTTGTGGAGGAGTCGGGCGCGGGGCGTTGACGGGCAAATGAGGACCATTGGCGAGCGGCGGGGCAAAGTAGGTGTACACGCGCTTGTCGTCCATGGGCGTCGCCGTAGCCCGAGTGTCGCTAAACTTTACCTCCATCTCAGCCATGCGCATCTCGAACGCGCACATCTTCTGTGTCATACTTCCGTCCAGCGCAGCCATCTTCTTGTTGATCTCGTGGATGGACGTTGATTGTTGCACGTGGTTGCCCTTGATCAGTGTCTGCAGCTGAGCAAACATGGCCATGGAACGCTTGTCGTATTCTTCGAATGACGGATTCGGCACGTGTGTCGCAACCGAAAAAGAATCGGAAGAATTAGAGGTACCTCTGGGTGCCGGCTTGCGGTCTTCTTGATCCGCGTTGTTTGGAGTGTCTTCGTCTTCAGTTGCAACTTCCTCTAGCACAATGTCATCGTCGTCAGAGGCCAGATCTTCTTCCTTGTTGATACCGAAAGAAGCGGCTTGAAGGTTGTCCTCGACCTTGGAGCCGATGTCGATCATTTCTTGCACGACCGTCTCGGCATTGGTGTCGACGATGACTTGCTCTAAAAGAGGATTGGTGTCGCGTTTGGCAAAAGCCAGGTTGATGGCGTCGATGCGCGTCTTGATCTTCTGCGCCACGCTGCGAGCATCCTTCTTGTAGTCCTTGAGCACGGCGGCGTCGGCGAGCACGTTCTGCAGCTGGGTGTCGGTGAGCACGAGGCCGTCGGCTTGAGCACGGAGTGTCTCCCAGCCATCGATGATGTCGCGCAGCTGCTTGGGCTTGATGTCCTTGCGGGGCATGTCGCTTGCTTGTTCAAGTTGTTGTCTGAAAGCAGAACATCGTTCGCGGTTGGGAAGAACCGAAGTCGAAGTCAACGAGAACAAGTCAACACCGGAGAATGAAAATGAACTGAGCAGCGCGTAATGAAAGCGTGAAAAGAATTTGGAATTTGAAAAAGAAATTTGATTAGAAAACTAAAAAACGAATTTGAAAAACGAAAGAGGAAAAGTGAATTTTGAAATAAAAAGTAAATATAAAAGGAATTTAGTTGACAAAAGTAGATTGAAAAACGAAAAAGTAAATTAAAAACACGAAAGAAAGGAACGTGGAGAGGGCGAGCAAAATTCAAAAAACGAGAGCGGGCCGAAAAATCGGGGACGGCGCCTCCGCCGCTCACCTTTGAACGCTCGGGTCCCACCACGAACCAATCTCTCCCATTACGCAATGTCAATTCAAATATCAGAACAGCGATATCAAAATGCTTCGAAAACTGTTGTTTTTGATGAGAATTGTTGCACATCACTCAGAGGAAGTGGTAGTAGCATTGATGAAGTAGTAGAGTGAGCACAGAAGTAGTTGGCCAGTGTCTTGAACGCGTGAAGCAGCTTTCTCAAGGCTGTCGGCGCAAGAACACCTCGTAGAAAAGTGTCGCAGCGTCGAAAAAAAAACGATGTCGAGCGGCAAAACGGGCATGTGCACTTCTTCATGTGCACTTGAAGAGCGCAGGCTTGAATGTCAGCAGAAGAGGCGTCGATGGCACGCCCGAGTTGTCGCCGCAGTAGTCGAAACACTGGTCACATGGTGTCGCCCGCATCATTCTTGGGTAGATGAGGCCATATCGGTGTCGCATGCTTGATGAAGAGTGCCCAGAGCGCGGTCCGTAGCCGTCCCAGTCATCAGAGCAGAGCAAACCACCTGCGAAGCCCGTCGTACACGGACAAACAGCCCTTTTGAGCCTGAAAAAGACCAAAGTAAACCCAAAGAAACCTTTTTAAATGTCCCGATCGCCCCATTTCTCGATTCTTCTAGTTCCATAACAGAATGGCGACCTTCCTTCCATCAATCCATGGATATTTCGAACTCCATTTCATAACTTCTCTGAAAAATGGGCCCCAAAGGAGCCGCCAAATTTCACAAGACTAGGACTGGAACCGGTCCCAAGCCTAGGCAGAAAACCAAACTCACCACAAACTCACTAGATTTCTTCTCCCGTAGGTTTACTACTTAGCGCGTGGGGGTAGCAAGGGTCCGCAAGAGAAGGTGCTCAAGCGCTTTGAGCCAATGTCGTTGTCCATCTGTCACAAAACGCCTGCTGGCCGGCAGGGGTGTCGAAAAACGAGAAACGGGTGTCGAAAACTCTTCATTCTTCAAAACGATGTCGAAATCCACATTGTAGAAGTTGAAGCAAATGTAGGGGAACCGGTGATCACACGGTCCGACGCACCATGTCGAAAGCAAAAGCTCCCCTGACCCTCCCAGAGTGTAAATACACCATCGGGGATAAACCCGAAGGGGAGAGCCAGGGGTTTGCCACCTCTTGCCTCCGGCCCTATCAACCACTGGAATACTAATGCGCGCTCGGTGTTCAGATGGTAGTAATACAGTGCATTTGCTAAAGACCTGGAAATGGATTAAGAGAACACGTTTATTAGAAGTACAGAATATATCGGCACAGGTAAAAGGGTGTCTGACAGGGAAAATACAGAGTGTCGAAGACAAGGCAGACGAGAGTGTTTGGGGTGTCGAACGGTTGCATTCGCCTGAGGTTTACTGTGCCCCGGATAGTGGTAAACCACGTCCCCGGCTCACAGCACTCTCACCAAGCCGTGCCGAAGCAACGACTGGCCGCAACACCCTTTCGGGATAGCGGGGGAATTGCGAGAGCAATTAATCCCAGAGAGCGCCGGAGGGCGCTGGCACAGCCCGCTACGATAGGATCGTCGCGGCGAGACCCTTGGCATGTTGCCAACCCCTGTTATCCCGCGTAATTCATCCTCGAAACTCCTAGGAGATGAAATCTCGTAGGAAAGTTTCGACACCCCGTCTGATCCCATGATATTCGGCGCTTTGCATAATTCTCACGATTTTCGATGACAAAAAATGAGAAATGCTACCTCTCTTCCTTTTATATAGGCTACCACAACTTCCGGCGTATGCTAATTGTTTCCTGACAAAGAAAGTCCTGGATTTTTCAACAAAAACTTAATTTCAACGTGCAAAACAGATAATTTTTGAAAATTTTGTTAGTGTGCAGTCATCCCAAGGCCATTACGCACATAATGACGTATCGAACATACCCCTAAGTACCTCCCTGCTTGAGATACTACTGGAACGCGCTGACGGAAGTTGCATGCAAAGTGCCACACACACACAGACACTACTTTTTTATATATGGTAGGATGCTTCTAGACCTGATCAGATCTGATCTTTTCGCAATTTATTACCGCATATAATAACTTTTATTTTATGATTTTGTACTTACTGTTTCACGCCTAATTTTAAATCGACCAAGAAGGGTCCAAAACTCGGTTTGTACCGTCACAACACACTAACGCTGGAAAAGAGTGACAAAATCTGATAAAAAAACAGCGGTTTTAACTGATCATTTTGTCGTTCGTCGCTGCCGGACCGATATCCTTACAGGAAAAGCGACAAATCTGGTAATTTTGCAGAAATACCAGCCTTAAAATGCCTTCTATAGTCTATTTCTTGGGTGTAAGTACAAGTTTTATCGTTAAAATCTCTCAAATCTTGACCCAAATTTCGTTAAGATCACCAACTTTTAGGTTTGACCAGGAACCAACACAGAAAGCCCCGACGTAAACATAGCGGGGAACGAATTCTACCGCAAAAAATGGTCTCGACGCGCGCACGTGGGCGCGTAAAATTTCTGATCCCCAACTAATAGGGTGGGATGGGTGGGGGGAGTTGACCAGCGAGCCGCTGATTACGCCGCCGAAGCGCGCCATTCTACGGGCTGGCCGTTTCCCGGAAAATTGCTTGTTCTACCTAAAAAAACAATAAAATAAGCTTAAAAGACGATGTGCTGGTCTTCTGGAGGGTATATGCTGCTTCTGGTAAGTTTTAAAATACGGTAATTCCCCTGATCTCGAGGTAAATCTGAAATTGACAGTTTTTGAGCAACTACATCGTAGTTTTTTATCATTTTAAGCTGCCTAAAATCCCTACTTACACCAGGTAATAGCATAAATACAACATAAATCTTATTTGGCGGGTTTTTCCAGGCTTTTAGCTTATATTAGGGGGAATAAGGCACAAATGTGCATTAAGCCTGGGTATATTTCAGAGCTTTTTCCTGGTTTCTGTCTCGAATGCCGACACGATCAGCGAGTACACGATGGAGATTCTCGACAACGTGACGACGGTGCTGAACACGGGCAGTGTGCTGTATATTAATGGACAACCGAATATAACGGAAAGGTATTGTCCATCTCCCTCTTTCTTTCAAACCAAGTTTCCGGTGTTTTGAGCTAGCTGAATTCTGCTAGCTTTTACGCGCGTTTGAACGCGTCGCGATGCTTTCCAGACAACTAGGTAGCGTGCATGCGTTTTCTTTAGTGTCTATGAAATCCGGCTTGGCGTCGGCGACGATGTCGGTCTCCGGATCCAATATCAGTTTATCCCGGCAAATGACTCGAATCCTGCGCAGGATGTGTTGATTTTTGGCGATGATATGGTAACTACATTTTTATTTTAGACACTCTCTCACTCTCCATCACTCGCTCTGGCTCTCTCTCTCTCACTCACTCCCTCTTTCTCTCCCCCTCTTTCACGCTTTCACTCTTTCACGTAGTTTATGCTTTTTCTAGAGACAAGACCTTGACACCGATGGAATTCGAAAAGTTATGCCAAGGAGTGCTGCCGATTCTACAAATATTACCGGAGAGACGCATATGATCTTTATCAGGTACCAGCCGATTACAGCCGCTTCGCGACTGTAATCGACTGGCCTTCGGGCTACCCTACATATTCTACACCACCACATACCCCGCTACATGATCAATACTTATGCTGATGGTTTCAGAAACCCCTCTTAGCCGAACGTAAATACCTTCTTTAGCTTTAGATACTTCCCCGAGCCGAAATCCCCTTAAAAAACTACTTCGATACCTTCCTGCAGGCTTTAGTTACCTCCCCTAGCCGACATCCCCTTAACAAACTACTTCGATACCCTCCGGATGGCTTTAGATACCCCCCTAGCCGAAATCCCTTTAAAAAAACTACATAAATACCTTCCGGATGGCTTTAGATACCTTCCCTAGCCGAAATCCCCTTCAAAAACTACCTAAATACCTTCCTGATGGCTTTAGAAACCCCCATGGCTGAAATCCCCTTCGAAAACTACCTAAATACCTTCGTGATGGCTTCCAGATACCCCCATGGCTGAAATCCCCTTCAAAAACTACCTAAATACCTTCCCGATGGCTTCAGATACCCCCCATGGCTGAAATCCCCTTCGAAAACTACCTAAATACCTTCGTGATGGCTTCAGATACCCCCCATGGCTGAAATCCCCTTCAAAACTACCTAAATACCTTCGTGATGGCTTCAGATACCCCCCATGGCTGAAATCCCCTTCAAAAACTACCTAAATACCTTCCTGATGGCTTCAGATACCCCCCATGGCTGAAATCCCTTCGAAACTACCTAAATACCTTCCCGATGGCTTCAGATACCCCCATGGCTGAAATCCCCTTCAAAAACTACCTAAATACCTTCCTGATGGCTTTGAAACCCCCATGGCTGAAATCCCCTTCAAAAACTACCTACATACCTTCCCGATGGCTTCAGATACCCCCCATGGCTGAAATCCCCTTCAAAAACTACCTAAATACCTTCCTGATGGCTTCAGATACCCCCATGGCTGAAATCCCCTTCGAAAACTACCTAAATACCTTCCCGATGGCTTCAGATACCCCCATGGCTGAAATCCCCTTCAAAACTACCTAAATACCTTCCTGATGGCTTTGAAACCCCCATGGCTGAAATCCCCTTCGAAAACTACCTAAATTCCTTCGTGATGGCTTCAGATACCCCCATGGCTGAAATCCCTTCAAAAACTACCTAAATACCTTCGTGATGGCTTCAGATACCCCCCATGGCTGAAATCCCCTTCAAAAACTACCTAAATACCTCCCTGATGGCTTTAGATACCTCCCCTAGCCGAAATCCCCTTAAAAAACAAAAATGACGACCGACCGGATGGAATGAGAGAAAAAAAAGAAATGAAATCCCGCGTGAAAATTTTCATCCACGAAACGCGCGCGACCTGGCTCACTATGTCCAAAAGCACCCCAACCTCCGTCCCCCACCCCTTTTACTAAGGGAAAAACTTTCAAAGTTAATTTTAATAATTTAAACTAAAACTTTTTCATAATTTTTTTATCAGTTTAGGGGTTTCTGACCACGCTCTATCCGAATCCGAAGAGAGCTAAGCTCTAGCTCCTTTCCCCTTCGAGTTGAATCCGGGACCGGACACACACACAGACACCACTACTTTTTTATTATAGTTGATTAAATTTTTCGATTTTTGCTTCTTTCTCACTCTCTCTCTCCCTCTCTCTCTCTCTCTCTCTCTCTCTCTGTCTCTCTTTCTCAAATTCATGCATTTCAGGGTCCTCGACTCAAACTACGCGATTTACTTTACGAACGGCCGGAGCCAATGGAACATTTTCAACTATCAATTCACATTCCCGATTCAGAGCGTGTCGAGCATCGGGCTGAGAGGGGAGTTCTTGCTCAAGGTCTACGAGCACTGGAATCAGGTGGGTTCATCAGTGTTTTTAGGCTGTGACTGTACGTTCCATCGGTTCTTATTGCTCTATCATCTTAAAAAGTATTTTCTGTATTTTTGCGAGTTATAAGATCATCTTTCAAGCGTTATATGTAGTGTACTCGCGCACCCCTGGATTTTCCAAAAGAAAAAACGCTCCATTGTTTAGTCGATAACCCTGCCGCACAGCTTCGCCTTCCCCACCCAGGATAACATCTTCCCCGTGGGTACGGTAGTTTGTTTTTGGTAATTTTTTTGATGAAAAAATCAGCTAAATTATTATCTTTAGGTTCTACCGTAGTGGTCGTCGCTGATCTAGGCACGGGGACCAACTTCACGATCGATTTGATGGGTACCGGTTCGACGGTGAATTTCCGCTGGCAAATGGCCATGGCTCAACATGCTGTGAGTTGTATTTTTTGTAATGGTTGTATGAAGTATCGCAACGTATTCTTTACGTCGTTAGTAGGATTACAGTGTATCTAAAACGTAACGATAAAAAGTATAAACACCTACTAATAATGAATACGATACGTTATCATTGACAGTACCAAATCTCGAACAACGTCTCAGGGGACTGGAGCCTGGTTGGCACGTCGGGTGACTGTGGATTGAGCAATTTGGCGTTTGCGTGAGTTGTTGGCCAATTTCCGAAGTTTTCCTAATTACAGACAGGACCAGATCGTGTTCGTCATAATTTCGAATACCAAGACGTCGATATCGGTCAGTTTTGAGCCTCACGGCCTCTCTCTCTCTCTCTCTCTCTCTCTCTCTCTCTCTCTCTCTCTCCGTCTCTCTCGCTCTCTCGCTCTACCGCCTCTATCTCTCTGTCTCTCTCGCTCTATCGCCTTCTATCTCGCTCTCTATCTCTTGCACTCTCTGTGTCTCTATCTCTCATTGTAGACTACTCTCTCGTTTGCACTCATTCTTGCTATCGCTCTATCGCTCTCTCTCAAGTTCTCTCCCTCCTACTCCCTAGCAAATATCTCAATTTTTCAGGTATTCGTCCAAATCGCAGGCTACACGTACAACTGCCCGACATATTTCGTGCATAACCCATTGATCGACACAAATGTTGGCTATCATTCCGTGGTGGTTAGTGGGGATGTTCAACCCCTACAAATGTGTCGTATCAACACGCTATGGGCCTCATAACCAATCCAATTATGTACGATGAAGGGATGTGCTGTCTGGATAAATAAGATCTCTTGTTTTGGAAAGCCTAAAGGGATTGAGAAAAGGAACGATGTTTTCTATACCTAGCGCATGGAAGGGGTAGATTCTGTCACTTCCCCACACCTTTAAATGACTACGGAAGTCCGTTTTCAAAAAATCAAAGCCATTTTACTGGTCCAGATCGATTCCATGTGATTCCATTATCATCTGGCTTTACTTCCTGAGTTCAGAGAACATGATAGGATGATAAAAAAGCGGCGTGACAACGAGCACATATTTATGCACCACCACGCACCACCAAGTCACTGGTTTTCTGCGCCCTTTAAAAGTGGCAGCTCGCACGTATCCTACTATATATAAAAAAATAGTTCCTGTGCGTGTGTATTATACTCTGCCATACCCCCAGGGGGTACAAAAGGGGTACGAGGTGGGGTACAAAGGGGGTACAGGGAGAAAAGGGGTACCCCCACCCCTACCCCCCCCCTCCCCCCCCCCCAGCAACCCAACAGATTTTTTCCAGTGACCTCCCACACATACCACATATCGGTGGCTCGCAAAAATTCAAGAAGGAATGACGAAGTCCGCCGGAATTTCACCAAGGCAGTTAATAAAATAAGAAAGTTGAACTCAACATTTTTATTTTTGTGATTTTTTTCCACTTAGAACATGTCTGAATTTTACTAAAAACATTATTGAAACCCTTACTATAAAGTTACCAGGGGTTTCTGGGTTTATTTCAAAAAGTTTGGTCCCCCGATAAACTTTCAACTTAAAAAAAGTTTAGTTCAAATTTGTTATTTTATTAACTGCCTTGATACAATTGCGCTGACTTCGTCATTTCTTGTTGTATTTTTGCGAGCCACCGACATGTGGTATGTGTGGGAGGTCGCTAGAGAAAAATCTGCTGGGCTGGGGGTACCCCATTTGTACCCCACCCGTACCCCTTTGTACCCCTTTGTACCCCCACCCCGTACCCCCTTTGTACCCCCACCTGTTCCCCTTTTGTACCCCCATGGGGGGTATACCCCCTGTAGAGTATACTGTGTATGTATGTGTGTGCATTTGCATGCAACTTCCGTCAGCGTGTTCCAGCAGTATCTCAATAAGGGGAGTAGTTAGGGGTATGACTGTATGACTGCACACTCAGAAAATTTTAAAAAATTCGCTGTTTTCGACGTTAAAATTCAGGTTTTGTTGTAAAATCGAGAACCCTCTTTGTTAGGAAAAAATTAGCATACGCCGGATGTTGTGGGGGCCTATATAAGGGAAAAGAGGTAGCGTTTCTCATTTTTTGTCGTCGAAAAACACGAGAACTATGCAAAGTAAAGAATATCATGGGATCAGACGGGGCCACGGTTGAAAAGTCGCGAAGCCTGGTAAAAAAAAACTAAATTTTCTAGCTTTCCTTCAAAAGCTGAACCTAAAAGCATTCGGTTGTCCTCATTTGATCCTGATTTCAACGTCAGCGATTCTGATTGAAATTTCTGAACCAAAAAACGGTTCCCGATTTCAACCCCTTGGCCCGCCCGGATTAATGCCCTCCAACCACCGATCGGGTGGAACGTGGGCAAAACACCACCCATTTTACTTCGCGCTCCATATCACCCAGGGGCGGCTCTCACTGTACGATTTTTGCCCACGGGTTTGTTTTCTCAAGCGGCCCATATATTTTTCAAAAAACGGGCGCGCGTAATCAGCGTATTCTTGAGGGCTTCCGCCTTTTGGGGGCTTCACCCCGTTGGGGGCCTTTGAATTCGTGCCAGGACCCGCTGGTGGTCGAGTTCATTATATTTTGGACTTTCGCTTCCGAATCCTGAGAATTCTGAATTTTTGTGACTTTGAAAATCGTCAAGTGATGGCGTACGGTAGGTTATTAGGATTATGGTATCAGGATACGATATTTGGGGCGCCCTTAGCCGAGCCGACCATTAGATATATTTTCTTTCTTATTTTCAATTTCTGGAAGCATGACCTAAAATTACTGCTGGCTAACAAACTAAAAAAGTAAGTGACAATAAAAACATTTTACTAATAAACGTTTTCCAGACAGAAACTCACGTTTTTGGCATCTTTGAACAAAACTGAAATTGTCAAACATCAGGAAAGGATTGTTAAAATAGAGCTAATTTTATTAAAAAAAACGTGAACATTTAGTGAAATTCAGTAATTTTCATAGCATGAGGTGGACAACGAGCAGAGATTCTTTGAGAACACAAAATTCGGTTAATCTTCGTTGTTTTTACGGGCCAAAAATCCGAATTTTCCTCAAAATTACACTAGGAAAAAAACTGGATTTGCCTCGAATTTTTCACAAAAAATCTAGAAAATCCGGATCGGCAGGATTGTTTAAAGTTGCGAGGCGGGTTTAAAGGATATTTTTCGAGAAAAAGCCAACAAATCGGAGTTTCAAAGCAAACACAATCACCCCATAGACCATGAAATTTGTGGAACGAGATGAGAATTTCAAATCCAGACCCAAATCAGTGTTTAACGGAGCAAGAACTTTTTATGCGAGCAACGTTTTCTGCGGCTCGTCTGTGTTTTGCCCAGGCGTTCAAGGGTATCCTCTCCTGGCGCCGGAACCCCGGAACCATCTGTCCCACCCTCAGCCTCTCTTTTTCGCGTCTTTTTCCGGTCCCCTCCTTTTGACTTCCAAATAATGGATGGCCAGGGCTGGGGGGAGCAGCGCTGCCCTGGCTACCACAGAAAAACCGACAGTACCCTTTGGATACCTCGATTACAGGGTTGTCCAACCACGCAAGGGCTCATCGATGAGGTGCGCGAATAAAAAGTGGCTCACAGCCATTTCGAAATCAACCTTTAAGGGGTTACACCGGTAGGAGGTTTTACCTTTTTACCCCGTCTTCAATTCTGCAAAACACCGAAAGATTAGCAGGAAACTGGGTCAGCTAATTAAATTTTGTCAAGAAAATTGGCAAAATGCGTTAATCTACGCTGCAGATACCTCGATCACCGCGATCTTTCCATTACAAGGTTTTCCAACTCAAAAAAGTCTGATAAAACACTGAGCAACTTGGATTTTTTATTTGCCACGATTTAAGGAACTGGCGTGATTTCTCCGGTCTTTTGTTCGACTGTCTAAAAAGGTGATTACGGTATGCTGCCGGAATAAAGCTTTAAAGGCAGCTTAACCGTTCATCTTAAGCCCTCATCGAAAATGAAATCACTGGCAAATGAAAATTTTAGCAAAAACTTTTCCGCCTTCCTGAACCCCGCGAAAATTCAAATGCACTCCGCAGACTGCCTGGTCCGGTAAGATAAGAAAGGGCATCATCAGTGCATCCAAATATCAACTAGCGCTCGCGTTTCAATTATATAAGCAGTTTTCTTTTCAGAACGCGACCAACCGGATCCGAATTTTTACCAGGGCTACCGTGTCGTAAAAGAAGGACTACTTATAATTCTAGCACGATTCCTTTTCGGAGGTCAATTAAAGACCTTACTAAAATTTTTACAAACATTACAAAATTCAACCGTCCCGTATCAGGAAGGGAAAGCATTTTAGATGCTGCAAGTAAGGTAGTCAGAGGTATTCCAGGGATGTAGATTATTGCACGCATCAGATGTTTACGAATTTTGCGTTTTATATAATATTTTAACTTTTTAAAGCATATTGAAATATCCTCATATGAATACGGAGCTTTGGGACATTGCGATTTTTTCCATTTTTCCTCTCTATTCAAATCCCCGGTCACGAAACCCCCGGGGCAAATTTGCATCCCCTAACCGTGGGTGTGCCTGGCAGGGGTCTACGCCCTGCCCGAGGCGGGTGGTGTGGATGGTGTGTTTTTTGGCGCATAGCGTACGACTGGTGGTGGGCACCCCACCAAGGCCTTCGCCTGCCTTGATGGGCCGATCGATTGGTCTGGTGCCCCACCCTGGAGGCAGGATAGGAGGAAGAGGAGAGGTCACTCTCTCTCGCGCTCTCTTTCTCTTTCTCTCTCTCTCTTTTCTCTCTAGCCTGCTGACCCATCCGTTGACCCCTGTGCAATACTCGACTGACTGTGGTGAGGTGGTGACCCCTCAGGGTCTTGTGACCCACACCAAGCCATCCGAGAATTCCCCTACTGGCTCTACGCGACCAAAAAAGGCATCTACAGATACGTTAGGTAACGGAAAGTCCTGGAATATACCTTGAGACTTGCAAAAATGGCCTTTTCCGGAAAAATGCTCTGATGCCGACCGCAGAAAAATAAAGATAAAGATAAGAACAGTCGAGGGCTACTGTAATGTCCTCGTCAAAGGGCTAAAAAGTTTAACAGTATTTTAAATGGCACCTAAGAGATTTGTGCAAATTTAGAAATCAGCTGGTCTGGAATGAAAGGTTCAGGCGCGGGATTCGGGTTTTTGAAAGCCCAGAGATATTGGATTTCCAGAAACTTTTTCGACTCTGCGTCACTACGCGGTCAAATACACAAAATTAAAAGGTTGAAGCTAATTCACTTATCACGCGAAAAATTATTGCCTTGTAGAATTTGCGAAAAAAAAACCTGCGAAAGCTCCTGCTAAAGCGGTGAAGAATTGTCTTAAAAATACGGCAGGAATTACAAAAAACTTGTTGAAAAATGAATATTCCTCCAATACTGTAGTTATGTGGTCATTCGTAGCAGTTATCTATTTGCAAAATTTATCGTTCCATCACTTAAAAAATTACCGGTCCCATGAAAAATTTCTCACTGAAATTTACCTAACCTCTCTGTTTCTATTTAGCAGATCCTAAAAAAGCCTGGATAATTGTCATCTCCAGGTTTTTTCTCCTCAAATAACACCTATGTCGCCAAAAAAGAATACAAATGCCTTTGTATTCGACCACACTTTTGAATACGCCAGGCATCAGCCAAGCTGCATGCACTTTTTTTGGTCGAAACGCTTCTCGGAGCATTCCGTCTCTTAAAAATTCCACTATCACCCCAAAAAAATCACGCGCTCTGATTTCCCGACCTAATTTTACATACCTCAGATTTATCTGGAATTTACTAGCACCTTTTTAATGGCTAAACCCTTTTCCAAAACCCTTGCCTCGGTCCCGACCTTCCCGCCAGGGGGTGCGCCGTGCCCTAGCTGGCCGGGTGACCCCCTCGGGGTCTCTATTTCTCTGCATCTCTCCCCCTCCACACTCTCTCCCCTTCCCAGATGACCCCTACCCACGAAGCTCCGCCCCTTTCTCCACCCCATATTCCCGAAGCGGGCAGTAGGACCGGGGCCATACACCATTCATCCTGCTGCACCCCATCCATCCAACCATTCGCTTCTGACCCTGATTTTCTAAAATTCTCAGGGCTACGGTAGGATTCCGAAATGCTGCTATGGACGGCAAGGTAAGTTCTATTTACTGCACTTCCCTTTGTGCCTGGCTGGTGGCCGTGCGGTCGATGGATGTAGGCTTCGTGTTAGAGCTGGATAAAGGCGTCTCACCGGGTGTACATTCATCAACTGCGCTCACCCGAATACGAGACCCATACCAGAGCGTACTTTACGCAGTATAAATAGTACTAGAGAGTACCTTACGCGTCGACGACGCGCGGCGACTACAGAGTACTGCTTTTCTAAGGCGGCATAAAAAATTTGAAATTTCGAAATAAGTAGCTGCTCTAAATTTACATTGTACGTGTCTATTCTGGTGTACTTTACGTAAATAGTACTAGGCCGTACTGAACTTGTGTAATACTAGAGCGTATTTTAACGCAGATAGTACTAGAGCGCACTTCAACGTGGATAGTACTAGAGGGTACTTTGAAGTCAAGACTACTAGGGCGTGCTTTGCCGTAGCTATTACTAGAGCATATTTCACGCAGATAGTACTAGAGCGTACTTTACGTAACATAGAACGACACGTGGAAATAGATGCGATAATAATATTGTAATATTACTAATTGTGATGTAATATTCGCCTTATAAGTTCCTTTATTAAGCTGAAAGTCATATTTTCAGAGCTAGCAAGTGAATAAGGTGGTAAAAAAGTGGTCTACCGACCAAAAACCAATTTATTCAAATCAACTCCTATTTCTTTCCAAAATTACTTTGGTATGGGCAGACTGTAGTCGCGATTATTCACAAAATTGTAGAACATTTGCAGAGATTCTTTGGGCTTTTCGTTGGAGGAGGAGGCGAAATGGCCGGCGCCCCGTATCGTCAGGAAGTCGAGACCTGAAAAAAAAACAAAGTAATGGCTTAAACACAGTTCTTTTTGAGTTACACACGCCTTTAAGACAAGTTAAAATCATAGAAAACGCCCAAATCGACCCCTTTGCCCACTAGGTCTCGACAAGTACGGAAAGCTCCAAATCACACCTTGAACGGTATTTTAAACGCTAATCGAAGCTCAAAATTGCGGCCAGAATATCTGATAAACGTGTTTTTCGCCGTTTTGCGTAGATTTCAAGGGGTAGATTTTCACGCTTCCCAGCCCCTTTAAAACCGACCAAATCGACTTTTTTGTCCACTAGGTCCTCACAGGTACGGATCGCTTCAAATGACACACTGAATCACAATTCAAGCCCGCATGGAAGCACCTATTGGGGCGAAAATTATCTAACGCACGTGTTTTTGGCGTTCACGTACCTGTCGAGACCTAGTAGACCCTAAGGGTAGATTTTCACGCTTCCTAGCTCCTTCAAAACCCCGCCAAAATCAGCGCTTCCTTTGACTATAGCCGCCCTTCCAATTATTCATCACGATCCCCCCACCCTCTGCTTTGCAGAATTGATTCGTTTGAGTCAGTCAACGGGCCGGTGGTTGTCTCGAGAAATCGACGAATTCCCGGCCCGGGGTGGCCAGCTATCGTCGATTCCCATCTTGACTTGTTTTTCGCCCTCCCCAAAGATCCCCCTGGCTGGCCGAAATTAGCCTGAAAAACTGGATGAAAAAGCTTTGGGAATGGGAGAGAGCGAGAGAGAGAGAGAGAGAGAGAGAAAGCGCGCGAGAGCAGACTGAGAGAGCGTCAAAGCTTTTTAAGCTCATAAAAAGGGCTTGCGACTGTTTTGTGTGCTAAATGGTGCAGGAGTCGTTTGTCCCTCTCTCTCTCTCTCTTTCTCTCACTCTGTCTCTCTCTATCTCCCTCTCTCTCCCTCTCTCTCCATCGCTTTATAAGTTACGGACTTCCCACAGAAATTCCAGCTTTGAAGGCAAATTGCAAAGAACTTCAGTTTGCGCGCCAGATCTAAGAGCCTAGATTTTTTGAAGGATCTCTGTTAGTTCACCAAGTCCTAGCCCAAAATTTGACGTCCCAAGCCAATTTCGAGATCATAAGGTTCCGCCGGGCTACCCACTTACCGTACCCCAGCCCGCCCTAGCCCTAATCACGCGCCAAATGAAGTCCCGTGCCGCAATCGCCGGAGGGCATAGGGGAATCCGGTGAGTGTTGCGCAATGGTGGGGCCGGGTCAGCGTCACCTCGAGAGGGAGGGAGGGAGAGACAGAGAGAGAGGGAGGGAGAGACAGAGAGAGAGAGAGAGAGAGAGAGGGGGAGGGAGAGACAGAGAGAGAGGCGAGAGAGAGAGAGAGAGAGAGAGAGAGAGGGAACAAAATACGTGCCCTAGAGCTACCGTAGTGAAAGTGAGATAGGTATAGGGTCTGGGAGTTTGGTTCCGGATGTTACTTTGGTGTCGACTACTATATTTGACCCCTACGTCGATTAGGTGTCGACAGCTACGCTACACTCCAAAATACGGGATCGCCGCTTCACGATTCCAGCTTGAAACTGATATTCCTACCAAGTTCAAGGACGAATTCAATAAAATTTTAGCCCTGCTGAGAAATGTCGAGAGCTAGCCAAGAAAAGCGGTTGATTTTGGCATTTCTTGGTACCTTTAAAAATATCCAGAAGCAGGAATTTGGTTGAATTTTCGTGTTTCTGAATTTTTGAGACTTGAGCACGTGACTCTTAGCGCTTGTCTCCACCATCGCCAAATCAAACAATACCCCCGCCTGGTCTCCTGATTTGGCGCGCTGCCAGGCTATTTGTTGACCTGGATGGGTGTTGCGCAAGGGCAACCAAGATGCCTAGGGCCTCTACGAGATAACGGTATGGGTAAGGGCAGGGGCCAAAAACGTCGTAGGCAAAAATAGAGGGAGATTCTAACCTTCAATTCGTAGAAATCAACCTCTGAAATTCTGGAAATTTTCTTCACTCTTCGAGGGCCCTTTAAAACGCTTTTTCGAGAACTTCGACATTCGATATTTTTCCAGATTAAAGTCTATAGTCTATGGCAGGATTATGCTTCAATACTCCTTTAAAAACGAGAAGAATGGTTCCTGCCGTTTCCCTGACAGACAAACCCGAGACAACCCCCAGATCGGACAGATGTCGCGCTCGATTTCCGGGGCGCCAACCCCAGCCAATGCTCATTTCGCATTCGAAAAATCGGGAGCATCCTTCCAGGGGCAAGCGATTAATTAGCATTTTCAAATGGTGGTCCCGTGGTGGAAGGCGATAGTTTATTATGCTTCAAATCTTTTGCAAGATTGAAAAGGGAATTTTTTAAACATGGAAGATTCAAGATTTCCTCCGTTTTCAAGTAAATTCAATGTAAAATTTTTCAATCCGTCGATTCAACCGGAAATTCAACCTTTTAAAATTAACCACTCCGAAAACTTTAGAACTACATGTGTGATTTAGCGAGTAAAAAACGCTTCAATACGCAGCTGCCTTACCTTTATATTGCGTCAAAAACCCGACGGTCGGCGGCAGTTGGTCGTTGTCATTCCATGGGGCTTTTGCTTTCTAAAATTTTCAATTTTTATTGATTTAAATAGCTTTAATTTAAATAGTAACTGCATATTTGACGCACCACTAGCGGCAATCCAAGTTGCCTCATAAACTGCTCATTATGCATGACGTTGCACACCGAGTCGATGTCGCCGTTGAAGAACATCGCCTGGAAATGGATCTTCCGACAAAAACGTCATTTCACCTTAAACTTACGCAAAAACTATCCTTTCGAATAAAACTAGCGAACTTCATCAAAATTTAGAATGAAGCTAACGACACAAAATGACAGTAGCTTATAGCAAAAAAAATGAAAATTTCTGACCTTTCTCTGATAGCTGACCACTTCTTTCACAAATGGCGAAATGTCCAGGTATTGTTGGATGTAGTCGTTAGCAATATCATCGCTAGAAAGAGCTTTAAAAGTGTCTGAAATACGTATTTTTGCTTTGGTATACAATATGTTCCAAAGCACAAAATTTGCAATCGTTTTTAACTAGAGATGTTAAGAATCAATTAACAATCAAGGTTATTTGCATACAATGGCACAATATTATTTGATTTGGATGGGGCTGAGCGCATGACCAAGTAAAATAATATTATTTGACTCCGCTCGAGAAAGAGCCAAGTAAGATTACTTGATTTACTTGATTTACTTGATCAAACAATAGCTTTCTGGAATTCTGGCATTTTTCGGAGGGTAATGAACTTTATGACATGATCGCATGCTAATTTACTGGGTTCGCGGCACAATTGCCTGATTTGCATTGCGAATTTGCACAAAATCAAGTAATTTCGCTGGATATCAAGTAATTCTCCCAAATCAATCAGATCAGTAATCAGTATTTTATTTTGCTTGTGCTTATTCAAGCAAACGGCGTAATATTTTATGTTACTTGAAAATTTCAGATGCAATTAAAGTTGTTCAAGTAAATTTACTTGGTCATTATATTACTTGATTCGTAACATCTCTATTTTTAACGCAGAAAAAACCTATATCGAAGTCCGTTTTCGAGGATTTAGACTATCTACAGTAGCGTGCAAAAAGAAGGCAACACCCAGGAAGCTCTTGTAGCCCGGCCGCCTCGTTATATTTTGCGCCAAACGGAATGTTTCCTAGTGTTTTCGATGCTGTAGAATTTTATGAGCATGGTCCCCAGCCGCGAAAATGACGTTTAGTAGCTTAAATATCGACTTTAAAATAGCTCCAAAAAATCTACTTTTTCTAAACGCATTTTTCCGTTTCAAAAACATCTCCATCGTGTTCAGCATGCTCGATTTACCCAGAGTCAATGTTTCTGGGTTCTTAGGACGTCTTCAGTCGGCTAGGAAGCTGCGATTAATCAATCGGTGTGATGGGGGCGCCTGAAATACCTTTCCCCCAGACGAGCCCCCTTCTTGACCCGTTTGGCGCAAGCAAAACGCCGCTTCCCGGCTAAGCCACGTCGAAGCCCATCACAAATCGACCATGCTGAACACGATGGTGATGTTTTTGAAACGGAAAAATGCGTTTAGAAACATTCGTTTTTTGGAGCTATTTTAAATTCGATATTTTAGCTACTAAACGTCATTTTTGCGGCTTGGGACCTTGCTCATCGAATTCTACAGCATCGAAAACACTAGGAAGCCCCCCCCCCCCCATTTACCCCCAGCCCCCTTCCCCCCGGCCCCCCCCCCCCCCCCCCACCCCCCCCCCCCCCCTTGGGTCTGGCGGTGTGTAAATTAATGGTTGTGGACCTTTTAGCCTGTTTCACCTTTCCACCCCCTCCCCCCCCCCCCCCCCCCCCCCCCCCCCCCCCCCCCCCCCCCCCCCCCCTCCCCCCCCCCGGGGGGGGAGGGGGGGGGGAGCAATTGCGTTTAGCGCAAAATCTAACGAGACGGCCGGGCTACAAGAGCTTCCTGGGTGTTGCCTTCTTTTTGCACGCTACTGTAACAAGGCAAAAACCCACATTTTTCATCGGTTCTAATAAAAGTTAATGAATTATGATACTAACTTGCAACTCTTGTAAACCGGCACGCTATTCGGGATCATCAGCGCCTTCCGCACATCGTCACGCATCAGATATACGGTGCTGTCGTTGTAGTGGGCGCACGAGGGTAAATCGGCTAGCTAAAAGTTTCACTCGTTGCTGCGTTATTTTTTCGAAGGTTATTGGCTTATACAAACCAGTAAAAGGCTTAAAAATGAGCCTGAAACGAGAACTTACATGCGGCGAATTCTTGCCCTTGATCATCTTCATCTTTTGCCGGGCCATCGCCATCGGGGGAGTGTAGCCTTGGGGCTGAAAACTCACGCTATACTACTTTAATCTTTTGGGTATACTTTCGGGTCAGAAACCGTTAAAAACGAGCGCAAAATATGAACTAAAACTCTGCACCCACCTGATCCGTCAAATAGCACGTAAAGTAGATGAAGTACGGGTCGAGGCCGGTGTAGTAGTTGGAGAAGTAGAGGTCTTGAGACTGTAAATGAAAAGTAACAAGAATTAAACCTTAGAAAACCTACAATATTCGTGCATTTATTCATCGGATCGACGGCCATGTTGTACCAATCGCAGTCGGTGGACCCGGAGCAGCACTGCTCGACCGAGATGCGGTATAGCCTGCCAAAAAAACCAACACACCCCCCCTTCGTGGTTGGTTTTTTTTTTTTTCCCCCCCCAAAAAAAATAAAATGGTTTTAATTTTTTTTTTTTTTTTTTTTTTTTTTTTTTTTTTGGTCCTTTTTTCCCCCTTTTCTCTTTTTTTCCCCCCCCCCCCTCCCTTTCTCCCCCCCCCCTTCTTTTTTTTTTGTGTTTTTTCCTTTTGGGGGGTGTATTTTTTTTTTTTTTTTTTTTTTTTTTTTTTTTTTTCTTTTTTTTTTTCCTCTTCCCCCCCCCCCCCCCGTTTCTCTTCCCCCCCCCAAAAAAAAAAACCTTTCCCTTTCCCCCCCCTCCATAAGGGGTTTTTTGTTTTTTTTTTTTCCCCCCCCTTTCCCCCGTGGGGGGGCTAAAAAAAAAATTTTTGGGTGTTTTTTTTTTTCGGGGCTCCTTTTCTCCCCCTTAGGGGGGTTTTTTTTCGTTTGGCGGAAATTTCTGGGGTTTTTTGGTTTTTAGATGCTTCAATGGGCTTGTAAACGTAATAGTAGGCATTTTACACCGTATAGCCTGGAATACCGCATGAATTTTGGCATCTACTCAATTTTAAAAGACGTCAAAAGGATTATAAAAGCGACAAAAAGCAGTCCCAAAAAGCTCATTATCGTTTGCAGCTTCTAAAGCTCTGAATGGGCTTTACTCTACAACTTTACAACCACGTTACAGAGTATAAAAACTAGTAATCCGGGTAATCACGTAAAAAGAAAGAATTGGTAGATTTACCGGATTGCTCAGGAGTAGCATCTCGAAAATGAAAAAACTAGCGTAAAAAGTTGCCGAAAACAGCTTTAGAAACTTTAGCAACTTAATTTACGTTTTTAAAGCTCGACGCGTATGCTACGCTTGCTCACTTGCGTTTTTAAGTATTTTAGCACCCGATTTTGATTTTAAATACTAACAACAGTAAAAAATCGTTGCAAAATACGGATTTTGACGGTTATTGTCTTGAAAAAGTCGTATATTTTAGTTAAAATGGGAAAACTACGTTTAAAAAGCTCCAAAACAAAGCTTCGACTTTTTTGGCTTCCAACTTACGTCTCGTCGATAAACCCGTGGTTGTAGCTGTACTGGATCAAGGAGTTGAACTCGAGGTGCGAGTTCAGGCAGCCGTTTCCGACGAAGAAACCCTGAAACGTTGGAAAGTATCGAAAAAAACGCATTATACGACGGATTAATTACGATTAAACTGAAAGTTATACAAAATAAAAGCAAAACCTTAAAATTGTAGCGAATTAAAAAAATCGAAGTCTAATAGCTTTTTGTAACTCATAAAACCTCCAAAAAACCTTCGATAGTTTTAAAATATTTAACAACTTTTCAAAATCATAAACACGCCAACATACCTTAAAATTAACAAAATTCTTCCAATCATTGACAAGCCGTTGGGCTAGCATCGGCACGTAGGTCCCGCCGTAGCTCTCGCCGGCCACGTAGAAGTCGTTGGCGCGGCGTTCGCGGAATTTTTCGAACCAGATCATCAGGGCCTAAGATTATTGGACGATAAGACAATCTCGAAAAGATACTTTTACCTTATGATTATCGTCGGCCACCTCGTCATCAGTATAATTCCACCGGCCATCACGGCGCACGGAGAAACCGACGCCGGCTGGCGCGTCCAGGAAGATGATATTTGCGTACTAAAACGTAGCTAGTTTCTGCTGATTTTCGCGGAAATTTGTCCGTAAAAACAAGCAGCTCCGGCGTTGAAAAGAGCTATTAAAAATGTGCATCAAAAACGAAGAGTGACTTCAGTCAATTTGCTAGCAAATTGACATGGGTGCGCGCAATTTAGCACGATTTGATGAGGCTTTTCCTTTTTAAAAGTGGTAGAAGCCAAACGACCCAATCAACTATAATAAAAAAGTAGCGGTGTCCGTCTGTCTGTCCGTCCGTCGTGTCCCGGATTCAACTCGAAGGGGAAAGGAGCTAGAGCTTAGGTCTCTTCGGATTCGGATAGAGCGTGGCCAGAAACCCCCAAACTGATAAAAAAAATTTTGAAAAAGTTTTAATTTAACTTATTAAAATTAACTTTGAAAGTTTTTTCCTTAGTAAAAGGGGTGGGGGACCGAGGTTGGGGTGATTTTGGACATAGTGAGCCAGGTGGCGCGCGTTTCGTGGATGAAAATTTTCACGGAAGATTTCATTTCTTTTTTTCTCTCATTCCATCCGGTCGGTCGTTAGTTTCGTTTTTTAAGGGGATTTCGCCTAGGGGAGGTATCGAAAGCCATCAGGGAGGTATCAAAGTAGTTTTTGAAGGGGATTTCGGCTATGGGGGGTATCTGAAGCCATCAGGGAGGTATCTAACTGTAAAGTGTTTTTACTCAGGCTGGCGTTTTGGAATGGGACCAAGACGATCTTGTTCAGAATTTTTTGCTGATTCCGAATCCGTTTTCCAAATTTGCTGCGGACTTCGCGTTGAAAAGTCATTTTTGGTCTAAATTAAGCTTATAAACGGGTACAATTCAAATAGGCGGGGGGAAAGATTTAGGCGGGGAAACCAACTTTTTTTCTGTCGGCCCTGGTGGGAATAGTAATCAAATATAAAGTGTTTTCACATTGTTTTTAGCAAAATTTAAGCCTATCTGAATCGGAAAAACTTTTTAAAAAATTAGAAAAACGCTTGAAAGACGTAATTTTGGTCATTTTTGGGCCGAAAAAAATGATTTTTCGACCTAAAATTAAATTTTTAATTAAGTTTTGTTTTTTATTTTTAGGAATAGCTATAAACAATTTAGAAACACTTCCACTATTTATATAAAAAATATAGGCTTGGGCGGAAAAAAGCGGAAAAAAAGCCCGCCTAAATCTTTTCCCCCCGCCTATTTGAATTGTACCTATAAACGGCATAAATTCGCATGCTGGCCCACTATTCCCTGTCTGGGTCCAGGTATTGTTGTGCCCCTTCCCAGTTGACACCATGGTGCACCGGTAACGACAACTTAGAAAATCAGGCAAAAAATCCAGATGTAGTCTATTTTTTTAGCCTAAATGTCGAATAACTTTTTAAATAAAGGTCGGCAGCAAATTTGGAAACCAGATTCGGAATCAGCGAAAAATTCTGCTCAAGGTAGGCTTGGTCCCATTCTAAAACGCCAGCCTGAGTAAAATCACTTTACAGGGTGTGCAAAAAAAAAGCCAACAGTTTGGGTCGAAATAACTCGCGAATGGTAGAGAATCGAAGGTACGTTACCATGCCAGAATGCTTAAATATGCTGGGTATGAAGATTTAACACAACTTGATTTTTTCGATTTTTGAGTACGAAACTGTACTATTGACGCTGGTCACGACCGAAAATTGTGCGTTCTTGAACGAGAGGTGGGAAAATTCTGATTTTTGGCCTAAAAATAGTATAAAGTTGTAGAAATGTAATGGCAAAATTTTGGAATTTATCGACGTCAATTTCATTTTTTAAAAGCAAAACAATTTTCGCGATTTTGCGTTATTTTTGTTCTCGGTGTCATAACTCGCTTATAACTCACTGCCTATGGCTGGTTTTTCGCCAATCGCTTATCCAAATATTAATCTCGGATTCCACACCATATTCCACCACAATCTATGGTATTTTTGTATTGCTTGCTAAAACGTGCCCCAGCGGGGTACTGTAGGTTTCGTTTTTCCCGCTTTTCTCGGGACCCCTAGCTTCGATCCGGCTGAAATTTTCTGGGTTCTTAGGCAATAAGTAGTGGCACCTTGCTGCCAAATACAAGAGCGTACTATCCACAAACTTTCATGAAAAAGACTAAAAACTGATTTTTTAATTCTGCCACAGAATCTTTTAAATTTTTTGGTCAGTTGGTCCATAAACTGCTACTATTAGTTTTACAAAAAGATTGAAGCGATTCCATGGCAAAAACCCCACGAAAATAGCAAATTTCGGTTTTCTACAGTAACCCCGGTGGAGCGCGTTTTAGCATGCCATCACAAAATTCCATAAAGTGATGATTTTTCTATTCGAGGGCCTTCTAGAGGTGATTGTAAGACAGCCTGTCAAAAATGACGGATTTTGGATGGTAAATAACAAAGTTACGAGGCCAAGTGCAAAACCAGGCCCGAGAGCCGATTTTTGGTCCGAGTCGCCGGGGTCAATTTTCGAGTTTTTAAAAATAAAAAAACCAGCTGGGTCTTATGGATACGATTAAAGATTTGATGTTATTATCTACGCCCGTCAAATTTGGGGACAATCTGATTCATGATCATGGTGACTTTCAGCTCAAAATCGAAAATCACCCTATTCCAAAATCGAAGTTTAGAAATCTTCTTAAATTTTCTGCGACGTGAAATTGCTTTAATCTTTGCATAGTTTTATTTAACTGATGGCACTGACTTATTGCTGAAAATATCCCTACGACTCCACTTTCAAAAATTTTTTTACGCAACCTCCAAATCGGTTTATTTCGGGTCTTGATGAATTTTCTTGGCGCCAACGGCTCGTTAAAAAAATTCATGAATAAGGCTTTAGGATGCGCTATATAACTAGTATCAGATAAAAATAAAACGATAATTTTCACAGCGCGACTAAATTTTATAAAATGGTGGCAAGATTCGGAAAAAAAGCACGAACCAACCGTTTTGGAGGCCCTAAAAGACGCCCTTCCAAAGGGGTACGGTAGCTAGAAGTTTTGTAGATGATTGATAAACCCCAGTACTACATAGTTAAGCAAAGAAAATAGCTGAGTCCCCTTTGGCAATTTAAAAATATTTTTCTAAAGTTCGGTTTCGTGACCTCGAAAATATCCATGACCAGGGGGTCGTTGAAAAACTCGAAAATTCATCGATCTCGAAAATTTTTAAAGCGTGTTTATGCGATTGTGTCAAGCCCGTAGGTATTCCACAACAACTGATTTTGAGGTTTTCGCCATAGGTTTTTTCAATATTAAAAATTTACGAAATTTCCCCATACAAAATTTCATTCCTCTCTAACTTTTCAACCAGACCCTCAAAAATTCTTAAATTTTGTAGATACATATCTGCTGCCTATATTAACTTACTTAATAAAAATTAGACGCCAGCCACCACAGGAAACTGAGAAAAATACAAATGAAGTTTCCCCGAACGCACAGTTTTCGGGTGTCATTTGTATGGGTACGTAGCCAAAAATCGAAAAAATCAAGTTGTGTTAAATCTTCATGCCCAGCATATTTAAGCATTCTGGCATGGTAACGCACCTTCGATTCTCTACCGTTCGCGAGTTATTTCGACCCAAACTGTGGCCTTTTTTTTTGCACACCCTGTACATTCGGTAGTTTTTGAAGGGGATTTCGGCTATGGGGGTATCTAAAACCATCAGGGAGGTATTTAGGTAGTTTTTGAAGGGGATTTCGGCTATCGGGGGGGGGGATATCTGAAGCCATCAGGAGGTTATTTTTTTTTTTTTTTTTTTTTTTTTTTTTTTTTTTTTTTTTTTTTTTTTTTTTTTTTTTTTTTTTTTTTTTTTTTTTTTTTTTTTTTTTTTTTTTTTTTTTTTTTTTTTTTTTTTTAAGTGGTTTTAAGTAGTTTTTCAAGGAGTAGCTAATTTTGTGCAGGGGTGGCTATAGGGGTGTCTGAAGCGATTGGTGTGGGTATTGGTGAAGATAGAGATGTAATGTGGTGGCGTAGAACATGGAGGGCCAGCCGAAGGCCAGCCGATTACAGTCGCGAAGCGGCTGTAATCGGCTGGTTTCTAATAATATTTTGCGAGAATGCGCAGGAAAAGAGGCTAATTCTGCCGCGAAATCTGCGAAAACCATCTCTCCATCGGAACTAGAGGATGCGAGCTAGAAACTAGGAACTGGAATCGAAGGACGAGACTTTCGTTTTTTAGAATTTGGAAGAAGCCAAAGCCTATGTTTCAGCTATATTTGTAGAAAAATCCTGACGCAAAACAAGTCGACCAACTGAAAAACAACTCATCATGAAATTGAACAAAACGAGTGGGTTTTAATTAAATTATTTACTAGCAGAATCCGGTTAAAACTAGGAATTTAGCATGTTTTGATCGTTCTCTTCCTTTTTCAGGCCGCTAGAAGCTTAAAAAGCCAATTTCTAGAGATATTTTGAGAAAAATACACTAGTAGAACAGCGGATTCTATTCAGAAGATGTTGAACAAAGTTTGTTATCGATTTTTGCGGTTTTCGATCGATCCATGACGTACCTGGCTAGAAACTGAAAATTTGGCACTCTGCCAGAAAGCTCGTGCTCTTTCACTAGTTGGAAAAGCCCAAAATGAAGTACAACCAACCTTATTCCACGAATAAGGGTTCAACGTCAGCTGCGCGCCAAAGTTGTTCGCGCGGAATGGGCCCAGCTCGACGAAAAGGCCTAGAAAAAAAGACTATCATTTATCTGAAGGCTCTACCTTCCAACGATGAGCATCCCGGGCCTCCATTCAGCCACAAAATCAGCGGGTCGGTGTCGGGCTTGTTCTGCGACTCGACATACCTGAAATCTGGTCGTTAGAGTTGAAAAAATTGTGGATGGTTTTGAAAAACTTCCAGTTGGGCGGTTTTGAGCTTATTTGCCTCAGAAATGTCCCAATTTAACAGATTTTTCGGCTCTTTCGCATTATCGCATTCTTTCGTTTATACAATAAATTCACCTACAATTCAACTACTATATTGTAAATGGAAAAACAATTAAAAAGGTTTTAGAAAAAATGTTTGTTTGAAATTTTGGCGGAAAATCTATATTTTGTGCATGTTTTAATCAAATTTTCAAAAGTATTAGGTTTAGAAATAGCAACATTTCTCTTTATTTATATTAGCAAACTCGGATCCTTATAATTAGGGAAAGCTTCCCCCCTGATAATGCGAAAGAACCTAGGTTTATAGTTATTTTTAGCGTAGGTATACTCCCTAAAAAGACCCACCAATAATACAAGCTCTTCTGGTCGCTGATGTCCAAATACCCGGAGTACTGCTTGAACGGGATGGTGCCGTTGAAGTTGGGCAGGCTCGTGATCCGCTCGTTGCTCGGCGCGGCGTTTGAGCAGCAAAATAGGGCAATAAATGCCAGGAATGAATGCCTCATTTTGGCGCTGCCTGCCGGCAAAATTCGCCGACTCCAAGCAGATCAAATACGGGAGCCGCCCCGGCCCTTTCTTATCACCACTCACCTTGCATCACATCATAGCTCTTTTTCCGGCTAGAGAGAGGGCCAAGGGGGTCTCGCAATCAGGGTGTAAACTGTAAAGATCGGTTCGGGGCATGGGAGCTAGAAAAGTAGAAGAAATTTCAGAGTTTTGTCGTCGTATTGATGATTTAGGAAAAGCGGAAAGTGCTAGAAACTCTGTCAGCGACTAACGAAACAGTTTCCGAAGCGGAAAAAGTGCAAAAAGGCCCTTCACGAGCTTTTAGAATCTGCCAGAAACATTTCTGTACAGCACTAGCGTATAACACTTGTTTCAAACACGATCGAGTCGAATTACAGTTAGAAAACCGGCTTCATTATTTTCCGAATAAAATTTCGATCGATTCTGATTAAACTAATCCTTTTTCCGAATTTTAAAATCGTACACGTTGGCGGTACATCTACATGCACCTCTCAAAACCAGGCTTCACACAACCGAGTGGAATTACAGTTGCAAATGTCATCTTAATTCGTTCCCGTCTGCTTGCTTCCGGTGCAAAAACTAGCCTTCAAGAACGGCCGAGGAAGAATCCCATTTTAAAAAAAAGTAAAAACCGTTGGCTTGATGCTTTAGTAGCAGCTAAATCTATTAACCTAAAAAAGCTAGCTGTGAAATGTCGATTAAGAAGTTCATATTTTGTCGCAAACAATGAAAAATAAGGCCCAAAGTTTCTAACCCTAGAAAATCTTTTTAGCTACACACGGACGTGTAACAACAAGCCTTGAACACGGCCTAGTTGAATTGCGCCTGAAAATTTCTCGGTGCTAGCAGCTTACAAAAACTTTTATTTGCCTACGAAGGAGACTACCTTTTGAAGAAGCCGGCTTCATCCCTCTCGAACTTTTAGATACCGTCTATAGAAGGTACCCAAAAAAATTTCAGAAACTATCAATTGTCAACCTTCAACTCCCCACCGGAAGACAACAAATTTATTGAACCGCAAATCAACAAATCAACATTATTTACCTATACAAAAACTGAGCCTCAGCCCAAAAACTATATTATAAATATATAAATAAAGTATAAATAAATTAGTTCACCAGGAGAGAGGAAGACCGGGTGAATGAGAGCCACGCACATACAAAAATAACCGGGGGGCGAGCAGAGACCATTGAACCCCAAACAAAAAGCTTGTCAAAGGCCAATGGAAAACAGCAGAAAAGGACACGCACAAGACGAAGAAGAGCACCCGAATCACAGTGAGATGATACAACTGGGACGGCAAGAAAAGCACGCTCACGCTCAAAGGCTCAACAGACTAGGGATTCGCGGTTTTTTCGGGGCGCTCGGCGAGTCGGCGTCGTCACCCGCGGCTGCATCCGCCCAACCGGAAGTGTCGACCTCGAGCAGCTCGGCCAGCTTCAGCGCGCCGTGGATGGTGTATTGGCGGAGGAGGAGCTGGAAATGGGAAGTTGTACCAATTGGTCCGATTTTTACGATTTTTGTATCTATCGGAAGTTTGGGAAGAGCTGAGCAGAGTTATGTGCTTTCCGATTGTCGAAACTCAGGAATTTCCTACGCGATTTTGACATTTTTCATGAAAAACTTACAGATTTCTCGCAAAAAAACAACTACCCTAAAACCTCGTGTATAGGTCCGGTACAATTTGGTTCCGTGCCAATACAAATGACACCAAATAATGTGTGTAGGGTACAATTCGGCCCAAAACCTATGTAAGCCAAAAGAGCCGGTTCTCAGGGCCTCATGCAGCAATTTCTTTCATTAAACCACTCAAATTGTCGGAAATAGTCGAAATACGAACAAATATTCCATCAAAAATTGCAAAAATACCATTCGTGAGCGGCGTTATTTGCAAGAAACCGAAAAACGAAACACACCAAATGACGGTCATACGGAATTACGGACGCTCCGTACACATGAAAATTTTCACCCGGAACTATACACGGGGAGGACCTATACACGAGGTTTTAGGGTAAATTTAATCGTCGTAAGCTCCAATCCAAGCTGTGTTCTCAAATGGCTTTCAAAAACCTATCGTCGCTTTGCCAGGAAAATAAAAACCAAATCAATCCAAATTCGATCCTTCCGGCAAAGATTTTTTAGAGAAAATCTAAATTATCGAAATTTTTAGGGCTTTTCTGGCAATAAATTTCCGCAAACAAAGCTTCACTGCGCTGAAACCGATTATATTGAGTTTTTGAAAGGAATCCGAGAGAAAATACTACTTGTTGTATCGATTTTTTTTCCATTCCGAAAAGCCCCCGAAATCTTTTCTGAGGAACCCCTGGGAAATTAACGATACCTGCGCCGACGCGGTGATATTCTCGCGCTGCTCATTGCTGAAGTAGGCGAGCACGTTCATCTGCACACGCTCACAGGGGTCGACGAGCGCGCCGACCGTCCGCAACAGCGCCCCAGCCGAAAGCGCCTCGAAGAGACGACGTATCGCGTCACTTGGTGACAGGGTGCGCTTCGCTGAAAAAGAGGAGATTGCGAAATAAATGCTGCTAAATACGATTACAGGGATTCCAAAAAATTGAGATCGAGCTGAAAAGCCGGCTAATTTAAATTTTCTTTAGACAACTGCTTCTTTTTAAAATTAACCAGGGTTGAAAAGCCGCTTCGCGACTTTTCAACCCTGGCCCCGTCTAACCCCATTGATCCTTAACTTTACATAATTTTCCTGAATTCAGATGACACAAAATGAAAAAAACTTCTTCTGTGCCTTTATATAGCCGAATCACCACTTCCGGTCTATGCTAATTATGCCGAACAAAGGAGCTTTCACAAAAACTTAAATTTAATGTCGAAAATGGCTGATTTTGTAAAATTTGATATGTGTGCAGTCATCTCAAGACCGTTGCGCACCTAATGATGTATCAAACATCTCTTTACACCTCTCCCCTATCGAGATATCCTCCGGACAGACAGACGGAAGTGGATGCAAAGTGGCACACACACACACAGACACTATTTTTTTATATATAGTAGGATTTATGGAATTCTTAAATTTGCATAAAAAATTGCATATTGTGCAATTTACACGCCGATTTTGCATAAATTTATACGAAAAAAGGCCATTTTTATGGTGGCGCCTCGGAAGAACGGCTGTGTAAAAGGAGCAAAAAGCATCGCCAAAAGGCAAATTTTGAAGGCAGAAAAACGGACCGGAAGTGAGGACGGTCTCGATGAGCAGCGCCAGCGGCCAGTCGCCGAGCGGAATCCACACCGGCAGCTTCTCGCGTAACGTACGCATCAGGACCATCAGCGGCCGCAGGGAAGGGCATTCTTTTTGCCTGAAAAATTTAGTATTGAAAAACCCAGAATCGCAAATATACACCAGAAAAAATCTCGCTTGTGGCCCGGCGGAAAGACACATCGAGATGATTTTTATACCGGTGGAAAGCTTCGAAAAGCAGAACGAAAACAAGGTTCTGGACTATTCCCGAGTCTCGTCTTAAAAATTTTCGAGAAAGTTTGTTTTTTTTTTGTAAAAATTTAAATTTTAAAATATCAAAAATGACGAAATAGGTCCAAACTTCGAATTTTTAAACCGGGAATTCATAATTTTCTAGAAATCAAGAATTAAAACTCAACTGAAACACCATAAAATTACATGAAATATCATCCACAGGTATCCAGAAACACATTCTTATGTGAAAAAACAAAACGTGGTTTTCCCCCCTGCTAACAGTCCAGAACCGAAAACAAGTGTCTCCTTTTTGGCAGTAGTTAGCAAAGGTGCGCTTGAAACGTTCGTATTTTGCGAGTTTCCATCAACGCAATTCGCAATTTCACAAAATTTACATGGGATTTTCACACAAGAACTTCTGAAAAACGGTCGGCCGGTCGGATAAAATTGCATCGAACCACAGAAATATTGCTAATGCCAAAACTTTTGTAGCCTTTCTGGTTTTTTTTCAACGGCTACCCCGTTTTCCCCCTCATTTTCACGAGATTCTGACTGGTGCAAAAAATGTTCCGGCTTCGAATTTCCACAGGACCGTCCGAGGGGGCTTTTTTCGGTGCTTCCAGGTTATCAGAGAGCGCTGGCCAACTGCTCGTTGCTTAACCTATAGCTGCCTAGCAATAAAATGTAGTTGATTTTAAGCACGTTTCAGTCGTTTCCGATAGCTAAAAGTCTTAACAATTTTATAGAAATTTCTATCATAAAACCGACCTTTAGGCCACTTTCAAGCGTTTTTCAAAAACTTTCAACATGTTCTTGATGTGTTTATAAATTCATCCGCCCTCGCTAATAGTTTAAAAACCATTTAAAACGGTGTAAAAGTCACTAAACAAAGGTAAAAACTTGATTATGGGATGGTAGAGATGAGATAGAGAGATGGTAGAAAAAGCATTTAGCTACCGTCCCCCGATAACCTGGAAGCAACCGTTCTACCATATTTACGCAAAAACCCGCCGGGTGGCAACGCATAAATACGGAAATCAGTAAAGGTTGGGCGTGGGATGGAGCGAGGACGAGTTATTTGCAGTCGAAGGTAGGCGTTTTTGACCTCCCTACACCCCAAGCTTCACTAATTGCTATCAATAATCGCAAATTCCTCACCCAAACCACTTGACGTGCCGCGACTTGGCGAGGGCGTCGAGCAACGGCTGGGGCGCGAGGCCGTGGGGCGGCTTGGTGAAGCCGGCGGTGTCGGCCAAGCGGGCCTCCGGCGAAGACATGCTGATGCGGTACTGTATCGCCGAAGGGCCCGGGATCTGGAAATGGGGGATTGGAAAGTGAATTTGACAAAATGGAGAATGCGGCTAATAAGGAGGCGTTTTTCGTGCCCACGGAGTTTCGAAATCATGCTGAACGGAATGCTGGGTTCAAGCCGATTTTGTGCAGAATTTTCGCTGATCAAAACCCACGTTTCGGAATCTCGGAAACGACCGTATTTTAAAGGTGACGCGCTTTAAAGTGTGAAAAATTGCCAAACTGGCCAACTTTCGACGTTTGAGCCCTTTAAACCGTCAGAAAATTCCTATTTCTGTCGTTTCGAGATTCTGAAAACGAGGGTTAAATCAGCAAAAAATTCCGCACAAAATAGGCTTGCTCCTATTTCGAATCTCCGTGAACACTAAAAACGTCCCCTTGTACGAAGCAGGAAGCATGAACCTGAATAACAACAGCAGCCTGCGCGAATATCGGCGCTACGCTCGGGGTGACTTCTTGGCCGTTGACGGTGATCCGTGGGATTCGGCAGGGCAGCAGATCGGCCAACTCCTTCAGCATCGCCTCGGTGGGGTAGACTCTGGAAAATCATGAATAAATCGCAAACCATTATTAAAAAGCAATCCAAACCAAGTACTGGTTTGTTAGAAGGGAGGGCAATTTCCTGGACCTGAGGTTTTTGGTGCAAAGGGTAGAAATCCTTCTTAGCGATAACAGTCCAGAAAAAAAAAGATTCCCATTTAATGAGGTCGATTTCTATCAAAATCCGAAATTTTCCCACTAATATAATTTTTTTTGTTGCTAAGCAGAAGGTGTAGGCCAAATACAAAGTTGACTACCCCGTTGCAACCCAGTGATTCTTCTTTTCAGAAACATAAAGCTGCTGCTCACCTCGTCATGAGCACGACCTCGACCTCGGTGTCCGACTTGACGAGCGTGCGGAAGGCGAGCGGCCCGACGCGCATGATGCCGAGGTACATCCGTTGCGAGGGGTCGGGCTGTGGTCCTTTGTTGTTGCGATGGGAGATGACGTCGGAGACGGCCTTCAGCCCGCCTTCAATCTTGCGCAGCGTGTCCTCGATATGGTGCAGCTGTTCGCCATCTAAATCGGGGTCGTTTTGGGACTGCTTTCGGCAGAAGTCGCGAAGACGATCAATTTCCGGATCAGAAGAATTCCAATCCCAAAGGATCAAAAAGTCACCAACCAATCAGAACCCTTTTCAAAAACCGCAATTTCACCGGGCTAAACTGTCATAACCATCAAATCGCAAAAAGGGCGTTTTGTAAAAGAATTCAGGCCGTTACGCACAAAACTTAGGGAATTTGATCTCAATATCAAAACTTTATGAACCTCGTGAATTTGAGCACGATAAAATCAAAAAAGTCCTCACTTGGCGGCAACTTTTCGCAGAGCATCCGCGCGTAGTTGTCCTCGAGTTGGCGACGCTCCTGGTTGGTGAGGACGACCGGTTGGCGTTGAACGATGCGCGCCGGGAAGGCGGTGGTCTTGGGCGCGATCCGCTCGTCAAGGTATAACTAAAAAAGGACCATAAACGGCTAGAAACATCGAAATTTAGTTCTGCGGTGGCTTCGCCCCGGCAATCTGTTTGCAAAAAGGGTGTCCAAAAAGGGTGCTCTATGGTAGCTTCAACAAGTGTTCGATTGCCATGGTTTAGGATAGGAGTCTATTCGAAGTCTACAAAAAAAGGGGAAAATCAGCGTCTGGAATTTTCTAAATTAAAAATTATATTTATCTAATTTAACGGTTCTATCCAGCGTTTGCCCGGCTAGCTAGAGGGCGGTGATTATTATTCGGATACCCCGGCACAAAGCGCACGCTAGAGCATACTTTGTAGAACACAAAAAAATACCGGCAACGTCGGGTCCACCTTGACTTTGTATTGGCTACGATGGCGCTTCCCGGTGACGTGCTGGTCCCTGGCGTTGAGGTCGTTGATGACGCAGTCGCACAACTTGCAGATGTACTGCACCAGCTTCCCTAAATTAACGGCGTTAGAGGCATGACGATTTTCCAAAATTTAGCCCGGCTCGGTTTCTAGCCATAACGATTGTTAGTGGGCACCAGTGAAGGTTTTGGCCTCGAAAAAACGCCAAAAAACCTTGGTAGGTTTAACGGCTAAACTTCCTGAAACAACTTATTTTTCTTAGCTCCTTTTCATCGATGAAAAGGGAGGAGCAAAAGATCCGCGCGGAACCTGTCAAATTGGCTGAATTTTGTAATTTCAGCATGAAAACTACAATCTAACGGCTCAAAGTTTCGGAAATGATCTCAAAGGACGAAAAATTAAAGCTAAACTGCAAAAACATGAACGTCGTGCTCGAATTTAATGGTCTTCAGGTCCGGATAAAACAAAAAAAAAATAGAAATCTTATCGAAAATTACTCTACTTCCCGCCGGCGTTTTCAGATTTTTATGAAATACAAGACTCGACGGTACCACAACCGCTTTTAAACGATTTTTGGGGGGTCTTGGAGGGCTAATTTGCATAAAACCAAGAAAATCGCCTCATTTCAGTCGGCTGCGGGCTCGCGTCCGGCTGCGGGGCCCGGAGAAACAGAGCCAAAGTGTCTTTAGTAAATTTCCCAGTACGCGCCAGTTGCAAAACCCCGGGTTTAAAACCAAAATAAAGATTTCCGATAGTCCTCTCTTGGTAGAATAGTCTCGCAAAAGTCCTCTTGTGGCCGAATTCTTAACGAGATATATACCTGTATGATCGACTTGCGCGTGGACGAACTCGACGCCGACCTGCTCGCGCCCGAACACCGCCTCTTCGGACATGCCCGCCGTGCCCACGGACGCCATGCACGCATCCTGCCGGAGTCGCCGGTCAAGTGTAGTCGACAGCGAGCCGGCCGGCACAAAGTTCATCGATGGCAGCCCGAAGACCTTGGCGTTCGCTGCAAAAATGTCGTAATCTTCGTACACAAAAGTAGCGGTATATTCCGGAAGGATGATTCCGAGTGTTTAAAAACGCTTTTGGAAGGTTAGCAAGGTTTTTTTGCAATTTTCTCGTCTTTGTAAGCCGCAGAAACTGAGAATGTTGTGCCAGAATGAAACACAGGCATTTCAAGCGGGAATTCGCCGAAACGGGCCCTTTTCCGCTGGATTCTGGCTTTTGCAAGTTGCCGGGCCGCAAAACTAAACCTGACACTGTTGCGCGCTGATAAAATGATAAAATCGCCGAAATGGTTTCCTCCAAAAACACATTTTTTTTTCAAGGTTTTCGCAATTAAAAATCGCCACGCAGCAAAACTGATGCGCGCCATATTGCGCCAGGACGAAGGCACGAAATCCCGAAAGGACCGGTCATAAATAGCGATTTTGCACTGTTTTTCCGGCTGAAAAACGCGAAATTTCCAAAGTTGAAGCTTGGAATGAGCGAGACTGAAAAATGACATTCCGGGCTTGCCAAAACTCGTTTTTTGCAAGGGTTCGTTTTTGAGGTTGCGGGACCGTAAAATGGAAGCTGAAAACGTTGGCCGAAAGCCAAATAGTGGAATTTCAAGCACGACCATGCGAAAGCGCGCTTTCGTAAGCTTTTAGTTTTTTTAGGTTTTCCGGCTGCCAACCGCCGCGCAGACCCCTGTACGAGAACCGGGTCAACCGAAATTTCAAGCATGAATTCGAAAAAAAGCTCTTTCTTCGCAAAATTTTTGCCGAAAGTTGGCAGAATCGAAACTAAAAATGTTGTGAGTGACTGGAATTCGCAAATGATCAAACTTCAAGCATGCACATGCCAAAAAAAAAGATTTTTATCCAATTTTGGCTTCTTTGCAAATTTTTGCTAGATTACAGCTTCTAGGCGGCAGAGGCGAAAAGAAATAGTGCGCGTGACTGAAATGATCAAATTTCAAGCCTGAAAATGTCAAAAATAGCTTTATTTACAAGGTGCGCGACTCTGCAAGTCTTACGAGCCGATGAAATGATCATAATTTCCAGCACCTGATAAAAACCAGCCTGTTCTGGACAGTTTCTCGCTTTTGAAAGTTGTCAGTCCACTAAAAGAAACGCTCAGATTTTTGCGGCAAAAACGAAATGATGCATTTTCAAGCAAATTATTCGCCAAAGAAAAGTTTTTTGGTAAGTTTCTCGCTTTTGCTAGTTTCCAGGTCGCAAAAGAGACGATAGAAAACTTGCGCAACAACGAGATGATGCATTTTCAAGCATAAATTTGTCAAACAAATAGCTTTTTTGGCCAGGTTTTCGCTTTTGCAAGTTTCAAGACAGCCAAAAGCTAAACTCACAATGCTGCGCGAGAACCGGGTCGACCGGTATCGGCTTTCCGCGGTCCTGCAGATATTTCACGGCCTTCTGATGGTTTTTGCCCTTCATGTGCAGCAGGTAACCGTTGATGTCGCTGCTCTGGGCCGAGCAGATGATGCACGTCAACCGGCCTTCACTAAATGAGAAATGATGAGCATGAGCATCCTCTTGCACGAGTCTTAATCCTGTAAACTATAGATTGGGGGCAAAAGTTTCTATGTTGAGCGCGTTTTGTCATCAAACGGCGTAAAGGCTGCGTGCAGCCGCTGAATTGGTCGGTTTTGTCGACAATCCAACACAAAACAAAAGTCGGGAGCATTTTTCCAAGAGCCAACTATTTTTGGCAACGAAGCCCCACAATTTAGGTTTTCAAGCCGGCGCGGCACGCATTTTTCAGCAACCTTTACCCAATTTTTGGCGTATTTTTTACTCCAGACGCTCTGCAACCCGTTCGAAAATGGTGATTTTGGAGAATTTAGAGCCAGCCGGGTGACCAATCATTAGCTTAGCCAAAATCATCGCGATTGGCAGACAAAACGCTAAAATTGGCAAGGTAAAAGCTGGGCCTAACGCGTAGAATACCACGCTGGCTAGAAAGCGTAACTTCTCGGGCTCGGGTGCAAGAAATAGCGTAGCCGAGTGGTAATTCTGATTCGCCATTCAATTGTCGACAAAAATGGCAAAATTACACCACAATAGGAACTCGTTTCACCTTTTTTCACTACGGGGTCTTGACTTTTGCCCAGCTGTCAATAGTTCACCCCGCTAAGTCGAACGGGCTTTTCAAAACGCACCAAAAAAGGTCAAAACACCTTCAAATCCCGCGTCAAAAGTCAAAAGTCAAAAACGCGAAAAACAGTGAAAACCCACGCTTGAGGGTGGGCGGTCCTCGTTTCTTGGACCTGCAGCACGCGTCTCTTGTGCTTGGCGCCGGCTTGATGGGCTTGCCACGGAACCTCGCCTGCGCATTCAATCTATAGGCAAAATTTCAGAATTCTGCAAACGGTGTACCTTGCAGTAGTCGCAGAAAAACTTGCGATTGTCCGTCTTCTTTGGGTAGCCGGCGTTCTTCCGCGGGAACTTGCCAACAGCTGCTGATGCGGTTGAGGAGACGCCGGGTTTCTGGAATTGGGAAGTTTTTCAGGTATGGGGGGGGGGGGGGGCCCCCCCCCGCTTTTGTTTCCCCCCCTTCGTTTTTTTTGGGGTCCTTTGGGTTTTAGCGTGTGTTTTAAGAAGTTATTGCGTGGCTAAGTTCACTCATCATAACGCAGATGATCTTCATCAACGTTCAAATGCCCAGAAAAGTAGGCAAAAAGCCGCGAACGAGTTTCTAGGCTGGTTTTTTGCGCTGAGCCTGAATTTCATACTTTTAGACACCAGAACTTAACGTTAGGATACAAGCTACAAAAAATTGATGGCGGAAACCATTTGCAGTCGAAAATTAAGTTTTTGCCGCCTAAGATCAAGTGGAATTTGCCCTCGGTGTCCAAAACCAGCACAGAAAACTCATCTATGAAATAGCTTCCGCTGCAGCAGCGTTCTAACGCCCAGAAAACCTTCCAAAACAAGACGAGCAATGCGCTGTTTCCTAACAAAAAAAGAAAGTTTTCCGGGCTCAACTGCAAAAAACTTAGATATCGTTTTGGGCACCAATTCCAAATGTAGTAATCTCTACTTTTCAGTCGAATTACACCTAGCCTACAAATTATAGCAGAACTACGAGCAAATAGAAGGTTTTTTTTCTGTTTTTACCATAACCTCGTCTTCAAATTGTGAATTTGAGGCTTTTCGCGTAAATAGCGCCCAAACCCTCACCAAAGTGCTTTGGACGAATGAAGAGACAGCTTGGGCCTTGATCGTCTCGTAGAAGCCATCAGTGACGGCGGGCGGCTTCGGCGGTTTCGGCACTGGCGGGACGGCGCCGAAGAAAACTAAATTAAATTTCGAAAAGAACTCCTTAACAATGGCATACCTGGCGGTTTCGGTGGCTCCGGCGGCGGGGGAACCATGCTGGCGAGGTAGTCGGGCTGTTGATACGGGGCGGATTGTTGGTAGTAGGCCTGCTGGTAGTTGAGGTCCCCGGTTCCGCCATATTGGTACTGGCCGTTCGGCCAGTACGTACGTTTGACCGGCGTACGGGTCGGTCATACCTGAAAATAAGAGCATTTAGCACGTCAAGAACGTGACGATAAAACCAAGGTGAAAATGGCTCGCGGATAAGAAGAAAAAGAGCAAATGAATCCGAAAAACCGATAAAGTTTTGGGAATAGAGAAAAAGAGCGCTAAATGGTTTACGAGAGCGTCATAGCCTTTCGCCGGGTTAATTATTTGCGGCGCTAAAAACTGTAAGCCCCTGAATTCCGCCAAAACCGCTCGAAAAAAGCGCCCAAGGATACTAAAAAACCCTCTGCGGATAGTTTCGGGCCAGAAAAAAACCCGGGCATTAAAAAGCAAGAGTTTTAGCCAATTTTCACCCACTTTTCCAATTTCTGCGCCGTTTTTCCTGCCAAACAAAACGAAAATTATCAAACCAAAATCCTCATCAAGGCAAATGTCGGCTTTTCGTCCAATAAATAATTTTCTAGCCTTTCCGAGTAGTTTTTCGCGCGTAAAAAGCTCTTATGCGGGGAACTGCTTCCCGAGAAAGTTCAAAGCTAAAAAATGAGCGGGAGACGAGAATTTTCTGCCGACCCTGTTCAAACGAGAACCGGTTTTCGGCCGTCCTGAAGAAGGCTGTCGGGTCCTCTGGCTCTCGGGTCCCACCACAATCTTGTCGACTATCTAGAATAAACTATTCTAACGGCGCTTTTGGCGGAAAGCCCGCAGGCCTGTGCAGGATTTCATGGCGTATGTGTGCGTTGCTAGGCCTTCCGCGTCGGCCGCCGGGAATATTCGTCTTTCAATTGCCGCATATTTTTATCGATCAAAGAAAGCACAGGCGAACACTGTTTTAAACGAATAGCGAAAAGACATTAACGATACACACAAGGGTTAATGGCCTATGGGGTTAATTTGTAGAAGTTGGAGCGGGCGGCGTATCACTCATCCTCGTCAGCATCGGCTTTCGAGGCCTATAAACCGTAGCATGGTGCTAGATAAAAGATTTACCCATCCGAGGGCCTTAGCCCGCATGCGACTACACCCGGCACATCCGATGGCACAGGCTAAAAAAAATCGATAGGCGGATTTTGGTGCACCTACGGATACCGAAGTTCTCTCGCGCCTCGCGGTGCGCATCGTCGTGGCATTCGGCTTTAGGGGCGCGCCTGTAAAGCGTCATGCAAAGATTTTGAAGTGATAGTCTACCGAATAAGCCAATAGCAAATGGTGCACATCTTTGTGAACCCGGACTTGATCTTGAGGTTCCCGAGTTTCTTGCACAGGTTACAGTCGAGGCCAAATTGGAGTCGAACGATAGAACTATTCCAAGTATCCCTCTTCTGATCTTCGCCGGGGGCCGATGCCTAAGACTCAGCGTTATCACTGGTCAAAGAGTTTATCTCATTATTCTGATTTCTTCGTATCGTTTTGCTAAATAAGAAAAAATAAATACAGTCTTACACGGAACGATTCCCAAATCACAAGATAAGGGGGGCGGCATCGCGAATTGCCCGGATCCACCTGGCTCTGCAAGTCGAGCACCTGATCGTCTTCCTGAAATTCGATCGTAACCAATTATATACCTCATTTCCCTTAATTTCTTAATCTCTCAATCCCCTTGACTAATTCCCAATGGTAGAACGGGATGACTCTACCTGGAGGAAAACGGGGCCAGGCCCAACGTGTTTAAAAGCAGCGAGCCGCCCATCAGGATAATTTGTGTGGTGGAACTTGCCCACCACCATCTGCCACCGGATCACCTAAGTTGACAGTTAACTGTATTTTGCTTGAAAAGCACTACCCGATTAGCCATCGGGTCGAAAGGGACAACAGGGCCGATCATTAACCCATCGGTTGTCGGCCTACGGACGACATGGTCCTCGAGACAATCCTCGGGGTTCTATAATCATAAAATGTAAGTGATCAATGGGTTTAAAAATTGGAGGCCCAAATATTAATGACAAAATCGTCAAGAAGTCGACGCCGAAGCAAAAAAAACCAACGAACGAACCTCCATGTTCCGGGAAAACTGGAAGAGTGCACGTTTTTTTCCGCAAACTTCGGTTCTAAATTCTATTCGCAAATTTTATGCAAATTAGACTTTATTTAATTCCATCTGCCTCGCATAATTAGCGCCTTTAAAAAAATAACACAAAAACGTCTCACCGTGAGCAGGTTTTCAAAACCTATAAATCTACTGTCTACCTTTCTTCAGTCTCCGCTTATCCTCGTCCACCACGGGTGCGACATCCCGGGCCCGATGCCGTGCTGGGTCAGCTGAGTAGCCAGCATTCGGCAGAGCATCATTTTATCATCCTGAAAGAATTTTCGGCCCTCAAAACTAGCGTATACCTTTGGGCCGGCCTCCTGGATGTCGAACGAATTCTGCAGTGAAGCCGACCGTTTATTGGGGAGGCAAGGCCCAAAAAACACGTCCAAAAACCCGCAAGAAACCGCACCATCGTCGCCAACACCAAGTTGATGGTCGTCTCCTGCGACAGCCGGTCGATGATGAACTGGTAGGTGATGTCGACGGCTGCAAAAAATTAATTTTAAAGAAAATTTAATTTTTTTGAAAGCGACCAAAATCCATGCAACGTTGTTAATACGTTTATTAACACAATGGACGGGACGGGTTAATTTACAAAACAAGGGACAACACGACACGCCAAACGAAGAACAAACCAAAAATATTTATCTGCGAGCCGTGCAATAACGATATAGTGCGTGGAACAGACCGGTGCGATCGCTGGATGAAGAAGCCGGCTCGTCGTCGTCGGCTTCGAGCGCCGATTTCTTCACCTCGGCCTCGTACTCGGTGCCTGAAAATGATGACGTATTTTCCTCAGGACCCAGTTTTTCTAGTATAAATTTTATAGTTTTCTAGTTCCGAAACTGTTTTTAGGTTCTTGCGCATCCAAGTTTCCAATTTTTCCAATACAAATAGCGGAACTGTTTTTAAACAGTTTTTTTACTACTATCCCGAAACGTAAAAGGTTTACAAATTCCGATTAAAAAAAGACAATAATACCGAACTCTTGGTCAGAAATAGCCGAGGTCCGACTAACAAACATTTTACTCAGCTTTTTTTAAATTGTTTTTTTTCAATGAAATATAGTGTATTTTACAAAAAAAAATTTCAAAAAATTTCGTATTGATTTTCTAAGCTTTTAAGATCATTTTCCCGCACGAAATAAAGCTCAAGTTTATTAAAAAAACTGACCAAAACGTGTGCTTTACGTTAATACGATAAGCCGGAATGACAAGAAAAATCTGATTCCCCTGCCCAGGAAAAACCAATAAAGCGCGTAATTTCAAGCTAATAACTAGCAAAGTATTTAGAAAAGCACGTATTAAAAGAAAAGTAAAAAACTATACCCGTAGCCGGCCGTTTTCTTGATTCTCTCGAGCGCTCTGCTTTTGGCGCTTGGTGTAGACTTGCTCCTTGGCCTCGTATAGGGCTCGTTGAATTTCCTAAAAAATCAAATCTTATTTCTACCTATCCAGCCTCGAGATAGAAGAATTTAACGAGATAGAAGTTAGAAAAATCAATTTTCCGGGAAACGGCCAGCCCGTAGAATGGCGCGCTTCGGCGGCGTAATCAGCGGCTCGCTGGTCAACTCCCCCCACCCATCCCACCCTATAAGTTGGGGATCAGAAATTTTACGCGCCCACGTGCGCGCGTCGAGACCATTTTTTGCGGTAGAATTCGTTCCCCGCTATGTTTACGTCGGGGCTTTCTGTGTTGGTTCCTGGTCAAACCTAAAAGTTGGTGATCTTAACGAAATTTGGGTCAAGATTTGAGAGATTTTAACGATAAAACTTGTACTTACACCCAGAAATAGACTATAGAAGGCATTTTAAGGCTGGTATTTCTGCAAAATTACCAGATTTGTCGCTTTTCCTGTAAGGATATCGGTCCGGCAGCGACGAACGACAAAATGATCAGTTAAAACCGCTGTTTTTTTATCAGATTTTGTCACTCTTTTCCAGCGTTAGTGTGTTGTGACGGTACAAACCGAGTTTTGGACCCTTCTTGGTGGATTTAAAATTAGGCGTGAAACAGTAAGTACAAAATCATAAAATAAAAGTTATTATAGTAAATTGCGAAAAGAACCAATTTCTAGCTATTTATGGGCAAACTGGCTGCAGCAGCGACGCGGTTTTCAATCTTATTTTGCCGTTTTATAAGATTTGTAGAGTTTGCGGTTTTGGTAGGCTACTATTCAAGTAATCGTAAATTTTCGCAGCTACAAACTTTTTTTGCCTTAATTTTCGAGGCATGACCGTTAATGGCGGCCAACAACTTCTGGCGGAGCGTCACCTAAAAGAGCATCAGTTTCTGCATTAACGTGATTGAAGATGACCAAAAACTGATTAAATTAACGAAAAACCTTTTATATAAAATTTATCAACGAGGGCGCGCGCACACGGCAGGCAGGCAACAAAAACAACGATCGGCAATATGTGTAAAAACAACATCAACACGGGTACCCAGCGATGAACGGCCAAAAAATATCACATTGACAAAACGGGCGGGGGGGAGGAGCTACGGTAAAAAAATGGCTGTAGAAAAGAACTTAGCGCTGAAAATTGATAAAATAGGGCGGAGGAGAGCCGAAAAACACACCTTAAAAATTCAAAATATTTGGCAGTGAGAGTGGCGGGCCAGAGAAAGAGAGAGATAGAGATCATAATCACGGGAGTTTTGTGAGCATAAAAAGGAGATATTTCCATTAGTTGTCGACGGGCTCCTCCTTGATCATCGCCTCGTAGCGGGTGGTGGTATGCGCAGTGGCAGCAGGAGCGGCGACGTTCGCGGCGGAAGTGCTGCTTTTCGTCTTGAACGGCTTCCGCGAGCTTTCCCTGGAAAAATCGAATTTCCAAAAACTGAACTTAAATTATAAACGTCGTTGTATTGATTTTCAAAACACATAAAATAAAAGAAACGTGGATGTGACAAAATCTAGAAAAATGAGACTTGTTAGAAAAAATCAGGAAATTTAGATTATGAAGAACTATTTTATACAGCGAAATTCAATTTTACAAACCAAATAAAATATAAAACAAGTCTAGAAAATCTAGAACCTAATTTAAAAGGCACGATCACCAAAAATATTATTTTCGTATATAAAAATATTGATTTTTTTTCATTAACTGACTCGTTTAACTTTGCCTTCAAAAACGGATGCAAAAGACGCGAAAAAAACTATTGAAACTACTCTATAGCAAACGAAAATCACATAGTTCAATCAAAAAATAACAAAAACTCTTAAAAACCCACTTTCCCTTGACCATCGCCACCACAGACTCGTCCATCTTGCGGTGGAAGTCGTGGCTGGCCTGGGCGTAGAATGTGCGCAGCCTAAAAAGGTATATTAAAACTTTATATATACAAAACTCTAGATCATTTCCCAGTTCTGGATTCACAATACAATTCAAAAAAATGGCGGAAAAACCCACGCAGAGAGCAGCTCCTTCTCGGCCCGTTCCGAGCCGGCGCTCTTCAGGAAATCCTTGACGTCAGCCTCATTGAAGCGCGAGAGCACGAACTATAAGTTTAAAAGCTATATAAAAAATCTAGTTAAATTATACCGGAAAAGCGGTACTCTCCAATCTTCGCAGGAGCTCGAAGAATCGCTTCCGGCTCTTCCCGTCCTCCCGCCAGCTCCCAGATTCGGCCATCTTCGGCAATAGGATCTTCACGTAGTTGGCAAGGTTTTTGAACTGAAATAAGGGCATAGAATTTCGGTTATTTGTTTAAATTGCATAAATTTGTCCAAAAACACTTTTTAAATTCAATTTAGAATTGTATCCTTTTGTCAAAATTCTATAATTTCGTTAAAAGACACCTTAGAATAAATAAACTACAAAAAACAACTAAATGAAAATTACTCGATAATGCAGGTAGAAGATGGTGTCGTAGATCAAATCCGGGTAGCTCTTCTCCTTGAACATTTTGTCGACGGCGTGCGAGATGGTGTCGGAGGACAGGCCGAAGTCGTTGTACAGCAGGGTGATGTCTGCAAAATTGAGGATTCTTAGATGGCCATTGCTAGATTGCCATCAGTTACGTTTGAAAAAGAACTTCCTAGCGATCTCTGCTAGCTTCCCATTAGCTGGTTTGGAAAAATTCTCAAATGTTCCCTGCTAGATTGCCATCAGCTAGGATTCTAAAAATTCGGTGTCTATCTTTGCTAGTTTCCCCTGGCGGTTTCTGCTAGCTTGCCTTCAGCTAGGTCTCGAAAAATTCCTTGCCGGTCTCTGCTCGTTTGCCTTCAGCTAGAAAAAATTCGATAGCGATTTCTGCCAGATTGCCTCCAATAGATTGCCAAATCATCCTTACTATTAGCGCTGTCCGCTCGTTCTCCAACGCAAAAAAAGCTCGATCAAACTCACGCTGTCTCTGCAATTTTGCTTGCTCGTCATTTTCCGGTTGCAACCGGTGGATGGAGATGATCAGGTCGACGGCGGAGAGCGGGCAGGCTAAAACCAGAAATTTTTGCAAAATCTGACCAAAACGAACTCGGCGAGGTCAGCCGCTTGAAGACGTAGCCGACCGTCTTGTGGTTGATCGTCTCGAGCATCAGGCTGGGCAGGAACGCCAGGATTTGCTCCTGAAATGAAAGATTAGGTATCGTAACGCAGCGTAGTGTGACGTAGCGTATCGTAACGTAGCCATCCCAATGCGCGTATATTAACGTAGCGCATCGAAAAGAAGCGCAAAATAGCGTAGTGTATCGTAACGTATCATAACGTAGGGCACTATAACGTAGCGCATCGCAACGCGACGTATAGCAGCGATTCGTAATGTAGCGTATCGTAACGTAGCGCATCGATACGTACTGTAGCGTAATTAACGTACCTTTGGCAAATGGTTGAGAATCGGCACAAAACTTCGGACATCAACGCCAGATCGTCGCTCGTAGAGGCCTTGCATCGCTTTTACCAGTGGCTTGCTGATCAGGTCTAAAAAGCAGATAAACTAACAAATCCTACGAATCCTTACTATTAACAGATAGCACGTGGACGATACGCGCCACCAGCGTCTCGGCTTTCTGCGGGCAGTTGTTGATCAGGTTGACAATCTCTGACGTGTCCGTGTGGTTGGCGATGGGCAGCTCGATTTTTTGGAGTATCGCCTGAAAAGGGTAGATGACCATCAGGGCAAAAATCCGTTATTACCATTTTCGCAATTTTTTAAAAATTAAGCTTTTGAGTTACTTTAAAGTTTGAAAAAACAACGTCAAGCTATGGGTAGAATTCCAAAAGCTTACCTTTTTCAGCAAATTGTTACCGACGGCGTACACGCTGGCCAGGTAGTGGATGAGGGCGGGGTCTTGCGGGATCAGCTCCAGGTACGTCTGCACGGCGATGGAGTACAGCTTGTCGGTCCACTCGGTGGGTGCTGGCTGAAAAAAGGGATAAAAAAACGTAAATTTACACATTTTTCGCAATTTGCATGAAAATGCCTTAAAATTCAAATTAGCGTACTAGCCACCAGGAATTCCGGAAAGTGGCCGTAATCTTGATGAGATATCTGGTATAAAAACAGCGCGATTTGCCTAAAGCCACGTACACCTCTCGACGAACACGACTACACGCTGGGATGGGCCGCCCGATGTGCCGCACCGCCGCCGACCATGCCCGACTTCTGCCGGCCCGGGAGACGACGGCGACAGCGGGGACGGACGGGTTCAAGATGCGGATGCTAATGCCCGAGCGCTCGCGACGAGTTCAACGAGTTCACGGATCGGCATACAGGCCTGTTTATTTTTCCGTTCCAAATTTTTGTAGCAATCAGCGCGCGAGCTTCAAGCTGAACGAAGCTGATGCACCAGGCCCGACTACTGCTGGCCCCGGGACGACGGCGACACGGGGGCGGATGTGGGCGGGCTCGAGACACGGATGAGGGTGCTCAAGCGCTCGTGACGAGTTCAAGAAGTACAAGGACTGCAAGGACTTCAATAAGTTCAAGGAATTCAAGCAGCTGGAATTAGAGGCCTGTTGATTTTGATATGCAAATTATTGTGGCGTATGCCTGCGATTGCCATGCGAAGCGAAGATTCGAGGCCATGCAAATTTGGAATTGGTTGATCGACGGCAAGGCGTGTCGAAGAAGGAGTCCCCCTCGAGTAGTGTGGCGGGCAACGGCGTGGCTGACGCGGTCAAGCCGACGACAAGAAGGGCAGCGCCGACATTACCAGGGAGGGAAACTGATCTCGTGCCGGTATAGTTTTTCTAGGATATCCACGACGAGGTGTGACTCAATTTGGGCAAGCGGTAGCGGCGATGGGTCCCAAATGCCATGCAAACTGGGACAAGTGAAGATGACCACTACGCTACTGCGGCGAGCCCCGCGAATCACAATCGGCAATCCTGACCCGGTCAACAAGCCGTTCAACAAGGCGCTCGGAAGGCCTGTTTGGTTTTTAGCCACGTTGTTGTTGGTGTTTTTATATCCATTTTAAATCCCCCGTTTTCTCACCTCCCCGGGCTTGGCGAAGGAAGTTGGCGGCGGCGTGACGGTGCACTTCTGGAGATTGTCCTTGAGCAGCCTGACGAGGATGTCCCGGATGAAGCGGAACGTGAACAACTCCTTTGCCGTCTTGGAGGCCTCCACCGACGTCTAAAAGCCGTGATACTCGATCGAGTAGCCGCTACTCACCCCCGCCACGTCCTGGACGCTGATGTCGATCAACAGCCGGAGTAACGTCTCGCGGAAGTCGACCCGGGCGATGATCATCTCCCGAAGCGTGATCAAGCAGATGTGGCCGTACGACTGAAATGGAGATGTTCAGCGTCAAAAAGGCTGATTTGACCTGTGACAAGCAGGCCTCCTTGAATATAGTCATTGCCGCCGGGCTGAGCAGGGGGGCTTCCAGGTAGAAGCGGTGGAAGACCCTGAATTGGAGGAAAACGTGACAAATGCGGCCTGAGGAGTCGAAAAAAACGAGAAAATGGCTCCTGGAGCCCAAAAATAGCGAAAGATTTGACAAAGGGCCTCGTGAAATCCCAAATTTCATTTTTTTAAATTTTAATACGGTTGAAATTAATTGAATTACGGCCTGAGGAGCCAAAGAGTAGATTTGGTGAAAGTGAATTAGACAAATTTGTGAAAATCGGTCAGATAATTCAATAATTTAATTCAATTTCTTTTTTTAATTTCTAAGTGAATCAAAATCTAGAAACTTGCGCTTCTGAAATTCATAAAAATTTAAATACGCGATGAAGCCGTCGAAAAATCCAGAATAGCGCTTACATCTCGTTCAGCAACCCCTTTGCCACGAGCTTCCGCAAAAACTTGTCGACGATCATGTTGTACTTCCCGAGGGCGGCTTCTTTCGCCGCCTGCTTGTCGGTCTTGTCCGCCCCGCAGAAGCTGTACCTGGAAAAGCAAAAATGACTCCTCGAGAAACTAGCGTACCCCAAATACTGCGTGTACAGCTCGGTGAACCAGAGCACCATCAGCTCGGCGCGGCTGTGGTGGTCGGCGATGATGAAGTTGATCAGCATCTGGAAACAATTTTGATACGTCAAATTAAAAAGTGAAAAAGATAAATTAAACTGGAAATTAAAAAAAATTGATTTTGAAAAATGAAGGTGTTCAAAACTTAATTCTAAGCCTTACTTCTATACCATCCATCTTCTTCGGATCCGTCTCAAACCGGGAGAGCAGCCGTACGAGCGTCAGCTGATAATCGAGCACGTGATTCGTTATGACAATGTCTTCTGAAATATCAAAAAGATGAGTATTTTGCGATTTTTCGAATATTAAAAGTTAACATAGGCTATTTTCAATGTCATAAAGCCAAAAATGCCATAAAGCTGATCGATATTTTGCTTGTTTTGACATAGTAAAAACTTAATAAAGGGTATTTTTAATGTTAAAAAGCGAAAATGTTTAGAAAAATTAGGAACTTGTAAAGATCGCAGCATTAGCGTACCCTCATTGCCCATGACCGCTCGAACGCCGAGTCCAAACAGCTGATCCTTGTCGAGCTTCTCCTCATCTTCCGGCTCCTCGAGCAGGTCGAACGATTTGACGGGCAGATAGGTGTCTTCTACCGTCTATACGTAACAATAAAGTAAGGGAAAACCAGCAAAAAACCAATTTCCGGCCAATTTTTACCTTTGGCTTGACTAGCGGCTTCCTATCGAACCCGAGCTTGGAAGTCGAATGTTTGGCACCGGATTTCCCGGCTTCTGGCGGGAGGATGGCGCCGGAGCGTTGTAGGGCGTCTCGTTCTAAAAAGTGAGTTAGGAAAAACGAAAAAAGGACGTTTTTTAGAATCGGGTTTTTGACTTTGTCATTTTGACACGGAACCAGGTTTATTTTGTGCAGAATTTTTGCGCTGATTCCGATACTATTTGCAAAATCGGTGCAACGACTCGGTTAAAGATTTATTAAGCTTTTAGTACGAAAATAGGGCAAGATTTTCCCGAAATTTTACGCAATTAAAAGCTCCATCACTTTTTAATATCGTCGTTGCGCGGATTTGAAATCGGCTTTCCAATCAGCGCAAAATTCTACGCAGGGTAGGCTGCGGAAACCAGACAACCTTCACGAACCTTTAAACGAAAACCGTCTCTACGGAAACCCGATTGTCACTAAAGATCTCGTTGAAAGCGGATTTTTGAAAAACGCTATAATCCAAATTTTTACCCTTCTTCCGTTTCCGCTTATCCTCGTCCAAGTGCGACATGCCGGGCCCGATGCCATGCTGCGTCAACTGCGTGGCCAGCATTCGGCAGAGCATCATTTTATGATCCTGAAAGAATTTTTGAGCCGTCAAAATTAGAGTATACCTTTGAGCCGGCCTCCTGGATGTCGAACGAATTCTGCAGTGAAGCTGGCCGTTTATTGGGGAGACAAGGCTAAAAAACACGTCCAAAAACTCATAACGAATCGCACCATCGTCGCCAACACCAAGTTGATGGTCGTCTCCTGCGACAGCCGGTCGATTATGAACTGGTAGGTGATGTCGACGGCTGTAAAAAATTAATTTTAAAGAAAATTTAATTTTTTGAAAGCCACCAAAACCCATGCAACTTTGTTAACACGTTTATTAGTACAAAAAGCATGACAATGGACGGGACGGGTGAATTTACAAAACAAGGGACAACACGACACGCCGAACAAAAAAAAATATTTATCTGCGAGCCGTGCAATAACGATATAGTGCGTGGAACAGACCGGTGCGATCGCTGGATGAAGCCGGCTCGTCGTCGTCGGCCTCGAGTGCCGATTTCTTCACCTCGGCCTCGTACTCGGTGCCTGAAAATGGTGACGTATTTTCCTCAGGACCCAGTGTTTCTAGTATAAATTTTATAGTTTTCTAGTTCCGAAACTGTTTTTAGGTTCTTGCGCATTAACGGGGGAGCGGGATTTTTATCTAAGTTTCCAATTTTTCCAATGCAAATAGCGGAAGTGTTTCTAAACAGTTTTTTGTTACTATCCCCAAACGTAAAAGGTTTACAAATTTCGATTAAAAAAAGACAAAAATACCGAACTCTTGGTCAGAAATGGACGAGTTTCGACTAACAAACATTTTACTCAGCTGTTTTCATTGTTTTTTTCAATGAAATATAGTGTATTTTATTATAAAACCTCATAAAATAATTACTAATCACTAGGCAATCTCTAGAAATCTATAGAAAAAAAATTGGATCCCCGATAATGCGAAAGCAACAAACCAAAAAATTTCAAAAAATTTCGGATTTATTTTCTAAGCTTTTAAAATCATTTTCCCGCTCGAAATAAAGCTCAAGTTTACTAAAAAAGCTGACGAAAATGTGTGCTATTAAGTTAATACGAAGAGCCGGAATGACAAGAAAAATCTGATTTCCCCTCCCCTGGAAAAAACAATAAAGCGCGTAATTTCAAGCTAATAACTAGCAAAGTATTTAGAAAAGCACGTATTAAAAGAAAAGGAAAAAACTATACCCGTAGCCGGCCGTTTTCTTGATTCTCTCGAGCCGCTCTGCTTTTGGCGCTTGGTGTAGACTTGCTCCTTGGCCTCGTAGAGGGCTCGTTGAATTTCCTAAAAAAGGTCAAATCTCGTTTCAACCTATGCCATTGGTTTAAAGAAAAATTTATTCCATTTTTTAAAACAAAAATGCACCGAATTACTGGCCCCCAGCGCGGTCAGCATAATCTCAATGCGATTTTGATGGGCCAGACCGGCCGGCAATTTCAGCAGCCGCAACAGATGCATCTTCAGCTCTTTTCGAGTGGATTTTACCTGAAAAATGCTTTTTTTTAGAAGTAAAGAGAAAGACGCACTTGTTCGGCGCTGAGCGTGGGGGGCAAGTTGATGTACAACATTTCCAAGCAGTCGATCACCGGCTTCACGTGCTCGTTACGGATGCGGGCTGAAAAACAAGGATTTTGTATCGTCATAAGTTGTAAAGTTTAAAGGTTTTTTTGTATTATCGAGGCGGCGGCAGCCAAAAGTTTTTTTCGATAATCTAGCAATGCCCAGTAAAGTAATATTAAGCGTTTTAATCGTGATGTTGGTAGAATTTAACTATATATCCAGTGGAAAACGCTAAAAAACTTACCTAGAACAACTTTTTGGTGAAATTTTGGTCGAAAAGTTTATATATTCTGTAGTTTTTAATCAAAATTTGTAAACTTTATATCTGTAACGATTTAAAAAAACAAACCAATACTCATCGCCGACCCGAGCGCCACGATCAAACATTGATAACTGATGTGCGGCAGCGCGATTTGATCGAGGATCGACTAAAAAAAAGCCAAAATAAGCCAAAAGCTCACGAAACCCACCGAAAGACAGTATTTCCCCTCGTCGTGAAGCTGGTCGTGCTTCAGCACCTTGTGATCGGGTGTGATGTCGTTGAGGTGGACCAGGTAGTCGGCGTGAGCGCCCTGAAACAGTAGTTATTACCACAAAGAAGGTGGTTTAAAAATTACAGGTATTACAGGTATTTATGAAAAATTTCTCCAGTATTTACGCTTAGGAAAATTAAAAAAAATATTTAGAAACATCTCCGCTACTAAATTTAAAAATTGATTTATAAGAAAAAAATTTTCTTCCTCCCCCCTATAATGCGAAAGACCTAGTTTTTTAATCCTGAGATATCATAAAAATGCCTGTATAACACTATAAAATTTTCACCTCCGATCGAAGCGACTGGCACATAATGATGACCTCGATGAACTTGAACACAAGGATTTGGATCCTAAAATCAAATAAAATAATAACAAAATCAAAGCCGTACTCTTGATCGTCGTCGTTGGTATAGCTGAGGATAATCCCCTTGACCTGGCTCATCACCGTCCAAAATTCCTGGTGCGACAGGTCGGGCTGCTGGTCGATGATGCAGCGGAAAATCGTCGGGTAGAGCCGAACGAAGGCGCGAATTAGCTAAAAAAACCGGATGAAGTCGTTAACGCTATATCCTACCCCTTTTAACATGGCCATATCATCGGTGAGTAAATTGGCGCCAAACGAGGCCACCGAGTAGCGAATAGTCTTCTTGCTGAGGAAACTAAAAGGGCGCGAGTTTTTTTTAATAAAACGAAAAACGTACCATATCTCCGTCAAGAATTCAATGACGATCAGACGAATCGAGAGCGATGGGTCGACGAGTACTGCTTGAACTTCTTGAATATAGGAGTCGAGTAGGAGCTCGGGGGGCTCGACGCGGTCGGTGAATAGGGCGAGGGCCTGAAAAAGCATATTTATCTCCCGGTCCTGTTTCCTTAAATTATTATAATTATGGCTTTAGAAAGACCAAGCCTCATTTCGGGATTTTCTTCCTGCGTTTTCGTAAACAGAAAGGTGAATAGGGCGAGGGCCAGGAAAGCAAGGAGGTTTTTCTTTCTTTTTTAGCGTCTTTAAAAGTACGTAGCTCTTTTAAACTATTAAAATGATGTTCTGAAACCGGCAGAGCATATTCCTTAAAAGATTTCTGTGAAAATCTGCTAAATCAACGCATTCGCAACGCATATTTCGGTTTGTTAAATCGCGTATCGCGCGCTAGCCATAATCTATTATCCAAAGCTTCTGAATTTCCTATTTTAAGCAATGAAATCAAGTGAGGAAAATACCAGCGCAGGTTTTGTACGATTTTTCATTAAAACTCGCTAAAATAAACCATTTCGCACACTCCTTGAGCTCGAGAATTCGTTTATCAATTACTATCTCCCATCCACGTCTCAAAAAGTCGTTAAAACCCCCACCTTTTTGACAAGCCGCAGCCGCTCGGTGTCGTCTCGCGTCTCGGCCACCCGTTTGAACGCACGCCGACAGGCTTCTTGCCTGTCCGCGGTGCTCATCTGGAATTTAACCAAGTTTTTAAAAGCAAAAAATGAAAAGATGGATAGAAAAGAAAACGTTTTTGAAAGTAACGGAAAACGTTTCGAAAAGGCCCCCGAATCCCCCGGCAACAGACTACAAAGGGGCCGGCGGCTAAAATGCGCCCTTGGGGCCACAGGTCGGGGCCGAGATTCAGCGTCACAAATTCAGCAAAAATGAGGTTTTTGAAGCGTAAAATACGGTAATTCACAAGAATGAAGGTGGATTTGGCCGTAGAAAGGCAGTTGCAACACTTTTGTGGACTTTATAGTGCTTGGTTCCTGCAAAAACCGGGTAAAAGGAGCTAAATCAAATTCGTAAAGTCTGGTCTGTAGCTGTGGAACAATTGGTGAAAAATGTGGGAGAAGCGATGCCCGAAAAAGGTGCGTCTGCAGCTGACCGCGGCGGATTGACGCGACCGCGACGCATACGCGTATGATCGATGGACTGTGTGGTGTATTGCGGCTGCGGTGAAGCATAAGCCTAACGGCGCTAAAAGCCAAAAAATCAGCCGTTAAAAACGAGAAGTTCTCAAAACCACGGTTCAATAAGGTTGGCAGAAAAGAAATCCTACTATATAAAAAAGTATGTCTGTGTTTGTGTGTGCCACTTTGCATGCAACTTCCGTCACCGTGTTCCAGTAGTATCTCAATTAGGGGGGTAGCTAGGGGTAAGTATGGTACGTCATTAGGTGCGTAATGCTGCACACTAACAAAATTTTCAAAAATTAGCTGTTTTCGACGTTAAAATTAAGTTTTTGTTGAAAAATCTAGGACCCTCTTTGTTAGGAAACAATTAGCATGCGCCGGAACTTGTGGTAGCCTATATAAAAGGAAGAGAGGTAGCGTTTCTCATTTTTGTCATCAAAAATCGTGAAAATTATGCACAGCGCAGAATATCATGGAATCGGACGGGGCCAGGGTTGAAAAATCGCGAAGCGGCTTTTCAACCCTGGTGTTTCCTAATTTATTGCAAAAAATTTTGCATAAACTATCATTTCCAACGCTTCGCCATCAGTACAACAAATTTAGCATAACCGAACCGGAAGTTGCCCATCATTAGCATTCAAAATCCGAGAGAAAATGGATTTCCCGACACTGGGGCATCATACGAATTCGTCCTCGTCCACGGATGGTCGTCAGCATACTGCGCCAGATGATGCTCTTCGGTTTGCTCCTGCTCATCGCCATGCATCTTCCCGGCGCTCATGCTCAAGAGGTACGGGCTTCTTTCAAAACCAAACAACTTTTTGATGGTATTATCACGCACTCTTTTGCAGGGCTGCCCGGAAGGCTACGGTCGACCTCTCGCCTGTTTCGTCGTCCGAGATCCGGAGCAGCGGTCGATCGCGGATGTAGGTTTCATCTCAGTCTCTCTCTTTCTCTCTCTCTCTCTCTCTCTCTCTCTCTGTCTCTCTCTCTGCCCCCGCTCTACCTCTCTCTCACTCTCGCTGTTTCAGAATGCCCTCTGCCACTGCCCTGTGGCCCCCGATGCCGTCTGCGACAACCATTCGTTCATCAAGGTAATAATCGTCACTCATTGCTTTCTAAACCTCTGATTTTAAATTTTCAACAAGACGATGTGGCTGGACTGCAACTTCGACCTGTTCATCGAGAAAGAAGGGGGATGCTCGACGAAGGATCAGCCGAAAGATGGGCCGAAGGGGATCTGTCTGGCCGGATGGGAGCACGCCGCTGTTCCGCCCGATCCCACCACCACTACATCGGTTTGGCAATGTCATAATCTTGGGATACGGATCTTAGACGACAACCACCACCACCACGACAACTACGACAACTACCACCACGACGACGACCACTACAACAACGACCACGACCACCACCACTACAACGACCACCACTACAACGACCACCACCACAACGACCACCACCACTACAACGACCACCACCACCACAACGACCACCACTACCACCACCACCACCACTACCACTACAACGACAACGACGACTACGACTACCACAACTACAACCACGACGACTACAACTACAACGTCTACATGGGCTCGATTTGGCGTTTACGCGCCCAAACCGGATGCCCGGAAGGTGGGGAGAGCGGGGGGTTGGCGTGGGAGGACGCAAAATCTTCTCCGATGTTGGCATGCTAAAGGGGCACCCAGGGCCTCGGAACGGGCCATTTTTATTGGCCCTGGCCGTCCCGCAGCCAATTTTTGGGCCCATATTTTTGCCATTCCAATATATCCCGCCATTTAATTTTCCCGGGGTGTAAAAGCGCGTTAAATCAAGGCGGTTTATCGTCTATTTCCTTGCAGAACCGATTTAGGCATTGTATGTAACGAGGATGTATTTATAAAGCAGCATACAACCAGTTACACCTTTAGTTCAATAGAAAAATCTGTTTTACTTGGTGGGGTGCCATTTCTTCGACTCCAAAGTGTAGTTTGAAAAACAGACCACCTAAACAAGACTGGCAAGATCGCTTCCCAGCAATTCTGAACATTTTCGGAGTGGCCCCTTTCGCGTCTGCAACCATCTGGGCTTCGGGCCACCCTACATATCCTACTCCACCGCATCCTTCCCTACCTACATCAATAACCACGCTAACGGCTTTGGTTTGGCTTCAGATACCCCCCCATAGCCGAAATCCCCTTCAAAAACTACCTACATACCTTCCTGATGGCTTCAGATACCTCCCCTAGCCGAAATCCCCTTCAAAAACTACCTAAATACCTTCTTGATGGCTTCAGATGCCTCTCCTAGCCGAAATCCCCTTAAAGGTACACTAAAGCCTCGTTGGTTTGGTTACCGGCCGGTAACCGTCCGCGGAATAGCAAACAGGGTTACGGTAGGTGCTCGCCGCGGAGCAAAACCGAACCCGCGCCACCTAGGCCTAGGGCGAGCGCTTCAGACCACTAGGCCATGGGACAGACGGGAGAGGGGATGGGGAAGGGGGATAAGAAGGATCCGGGCGTTGCGCGGCAGAGGGCCGGGATTTCCGACCGCGAACTGACTTTTTGCACGAGATTTAGTGTACCTTTAAAACAAATTAAAACACCACTTCGATACTTGCCTCATGCTTGGGCCTAGGATGTCGTTAACAGTCGCGTCGGGTCGTCGTTAACGCATACGCGCCTTGTTTCCCAATGGAAAGAATGGAATAAGGCGTCGTTTTTTTCCACGGGCCAAGGCGATCTGCTTCATCAAATATTGTTTTTCAGTGCACGCCCCTGCGCAGTACTATCTACACGTGCGTCAACTGCCACTTCAGTGACTTTGTGGACACTTGGAACAGCAAAACGGGTCGTTGTCCGAAATGCGAAGGGATCGTCGCCGAAGATTGTCCGGTATGCTGCTCCATCTAAATTCTAATTGCTCCGTTCCTCCCGCACCCCAACTTATGTTTCTTAGCTTCCCATACTTAAGCCATTGTAAAAACACCGCTTCGCGGCCCTTTTCCGTTGGATCCCTTCTAGGAACCATGAATTCAAAGCCTCTCCATGCTTCCAAAGGGAAATTCAACCTGGGTTTCGAGTGATCCGTATCCGTTATCCGTGCAACGCGGATCGTAACCCACTTTGTTAAGGATTTTTAACCTTTTTGCTTGTAGAATCGTTGGCTAAAGTCCAGCTTGCCCCCCCCACCCAAGCCATAACTTTTCAGCCGGGAGCCCTATTAATGTTTTGAGTATCTCAAAATGTTCGCCGTGGTCGAATTACTATAAAAAAGTTGTTTCCTTAGACTAAAAATTGTTCGAAAATTTTTTATAACAATTATAATGCTGGATTTTCTTTCATTAATTTTTGCTAGTCAGAAGTGCTTTTTCATATCTCGGCTATTTTTAGTCTTGTCCAGGGTTGTTCAGGGACGGATGGGACGGATTTGCATCCCGGAATGGGGACAGACGGGGACGGGACGGGGACGGTGGGGACGGACGGTGACGGGGCAGCGTCCCCGTCCCCGATGCAAATTACGGGGATAAAGTAATGGCATTCAAATGAAGCATCGGCTGGGTTTAGAATGTCGCAGTTCAAGGTACAAAACGTAGATAGCATGAGTACGATGAAGTACTTATGACCTAGCACGTAGAGTAAGTAACCAATTGCTTTCTAACTTGAATATCTCGAATTTTTACGCTCTGTAGAAATTCCGAAAAAATGGTGATTATCTGCAGCGCCGACGCCATCTAGGTATAACTTCCAGCTTGGCCAGAGTTGCATGTATCTTTGACTCCCCTAAAGAAACGAGAAGGAGACCCGAAATAATTACTGGTAGGAAAACCATTTGCCTTTCGGCATTTGCATCGGGGACGGGGTGACGCTGACCGTCACCCCGTCCCCCGTCTGTCCGTCCGTCCCTTCCCGGACGCGTCCCCGTCCGTCCCCTAATTTTATGCAAATTAGGGTGACGGTCCCGCGTCCCCGTCCGGACGCGGACGGACGGGGACGGGACGCAAAATGACCAACCCTGGTCTTGTCTAGCCCTTGTTCTGTAGTATCCGGCTACAGTACATTTAAATCGAAAAACCCAGCGCTGACCCCCCGCTACGCGGGGGTTCAGCGCTGGCCTTCTCCCACCCCGCAATTTGAATTTGTAATTTGAATGCAAAATTTGGCTGAATTCCCGGTCGGTCGGACGGGCAGACGGACATTAGAAATTTATATATAGTAGATAGCGCGCAAACGGAAAAAATTTGAGTTTGGAAGCCGTAGTGCAGGGAGGCATGATGGCTTCACCTTTTCAACTTCAAGCTCTTGTAAAAAATTTTCTAGCGATTTTTGGCGTCATGAAACAACTTTTTACGATTGCGGCAAACATTTTCAGATAATCGAAACATTAATAGGACGTAGGGATGAAAAGTAGGGCTGGGGGAGGGAGGGTAAACTAGACTTGAGCCAAATCAAGGAACTTAGAAACCCCCATAACTAAATAAGCCAAGTCTCTCAGAGGACGTTGCTTTTAGTGTGAAGACGCGGATCCGTATTGCCTGAATTGTGCTCGTCCCGAATGGAAAGATCATCAGGACTGCCATGGGTGCGAGTGGAATAAAAATCCCACCCATACTTCCTGTCAAATCAAGTGCCTCCTACCGGGCGAACGGGTAAGTTAAATTATCGCCTGGCCGGTTACGATAGTGGGTTCTTTAGGATTTCCGGGGGAAAGTATTTCCGGGGGAAACCAAATTTTTTCCTGGTTTTCCCGGTTGACCTAGTAATCAAATATAAAGTGTTTTCACATTGTTTTTAGTAAATTTTAACTATATTTAAAGTAGAAAAACCTTTCAAAAAAGTTAGAAAAATGTTTGAAAAAGTCGAAAATTGGTCATTTTGGGTCTTTCCTAAAGGTTCTATAGGATTTTTCGACCTAAAATCAAAGTCTTTAATTAAAATGTGGGTAGTTTTTATGCCCAGGAATAGTTAAAAACCATTTAGAAACGCACGCGCTATTCAGAAAAAAAATTTAGGCTTGGGCCGAAAAAATTTGGTTTCCCCCGGAAATACTTTCCCCCCCCGGAAATCCTAAAGAACCCGATAGTGTCAATTGATTTTCTGGAATCGACGGTTCGATGCTTTTCAGCCAGGCCACTCGTATATGTCGAAGGATCCACGCTGTAGATACCATCATCTTTATGCCATCCATTTGCACCAAGAGCTTGGGAGCGATGATTGGGTGGGACAGCTGTTTTGTAGGGGTATTTTGCAGACAACTTCCGAATCCCACAACTCTACCCATACTCCCAAAAAATAATATACAGGGAGGCCCCAAAAATCACCCGCCGCCGCCCCCCTCGAGCGGGCCGCAGTCGTGACCGATTTTTACGATTTAGGTATTTAGCTCTCGAAAAACCATGACCAGCACGTCACTCCAATTTCCGAAACCTTTGAACCTATGAATTTGTTGCTCAAGTTTCGGCATTTCATGCGCAAAGGACAGGCTTTTCCGTCAAAAACTCAATATTACCCATTTAAAGGGGATCCGAAATCTGGTCCACGGCCCCCTGCTGTGATTCCTGGCAAATAGCCAGGTGCGACCGCAACGCGACCGCGCCGCATGATCTTTTGCCTTTATTTGGACGCGAAAACGCTTGAATTTAAAAATTCTGATGCTATATTTGGAATCTTCATCAAATTTTGATCATTCTAGACTTTTAAATTACGAAAATTGACCAGAGAATCGCCAAGGTCGAGAAATTGGGTGCCTTACAAGGCATTACGACAGGTAATCGCCGCGCACTCAAAAGAAGCCAAAACGCCCCAAAAAGAATTCGGATTTTCTGCAATATTTTACATTTTTTCGTAATGAAATAACTTTTCTGGCACTTTTCGGCAGTGACCCTTGCGTTTTTTGACTAGTAGGTTCAATCCCCGCATGCGGGGTCCCAAAGCGCGCACGGGGGGGTGGGGAGGGGCGTGGCCGAGTGGTCTAAGGCGGCGGTCACAGGCCACAGGGAGGGGGGTGCTGGTTCGATACCTCTGACCCCCCCGTACCGTCAGATCGTTTTGCTCTTTTTTGCAAAAAGTGGTTGAAGGTGCCAGCAACCCTTCTATGGTGTACCCAATGCCGAAAAATAACAAGCTATATGGTTCCTGAGTCAGAAACAAGGTAATCGTGAATAGTGGTGCTGGAGTACTCATTTAAGTCACATAGATATAAAACAGAGCTGAAGATATAGACAGATAGTCATACAAAGTAGATTCAAGCCAAATAGTTCAGTACTACTCCAGAATTCAAAATTGCTCAAAATGGATGGGCCTCAATCTCGTCTATTACAGCCGCCCAACCCCGAAAAAGCAAGCAATTGATCATTGGCAAGCCGTAGGCGATGCAAATATACAAAAAGGGAGCCCAGAAAATGGCTATATTCAAAGAAAAGAGCTGTGCACAAATGGGTGAATTTTCGGTCTTCTGCTCGCTAAAAAAGTTTTGAACTCCATATTTTGATTCAGATTTGCTCCGAGCTCTTTTGGAAAAGGTGCCTTAGGGTCTGTTCTATCATATGCGAAAAGCCGCCTCGACAGTTTTTTCTAGAAAAAAAGTTATCGCATTTTGAAAGCGCGAAAATTTGTCACTTTTTGCCCCTTTTGTTAAGGCCTTTTGCGGGTCTCAGGGTTCGCTGGGCGCGCAGCCGGCCCACCCGTCCCGTGGAGTGCCCCGTCCCTCGTGCGCGCCCTCCTGAATAGTCGGGACCCCGTGCGCACGCACGAATTTTGACTTCTGAGCCCCTTTAAGCGCAAGCGCACTGTTTTTTCCCAACGCGCTTTCAAAAAGCTGTCGTTGAGTTGCCAGGAAAGGCTTAAAATCCCTAAATTGTGTTTTTGGTAAAAAACCCTCGTCAAGAAAATCAGAATTTGTGAATTGGAGACTTGGTGCTGGACTCGCCTTTCCGAGAGCTTTCGATAAATACCTAAATCGTAAAAATCCGTCACGACTGTGGCCGGATAGAGGGAAGGGGTGATTTTTTATGGGACACCCCGTAGAGTTTCCATTCACAATTATCGCTTTTCCAAAAATAATGATGAATTTTCTGATTGTTTACCACTTAAAATGGTTGCATTTTGGCTGAACTCTAGGAACCCCCCCCCAGCCGACTTTTCAATTTTTCTACTATTTTTATTAGTGGCTACTTTTTTCGGCTCAAATGCAATGTATTCTTACTAATTAGCCTACTGCAAACATTTTGGTATACTTTAGTGCTCGCTATCACAAAGGGGGCAGAGATGCAAAAGTTGGTGTCGCCTGGCGGGTTTCCTAGACTCTTACCTATACATGGGCGGTCACCCCGGAGGGTCACCCTGGGGGTGACCGCCGCTCACCCCCTGGGGGTGACTGCAATGGCACCCTGGGGTGACCCTCCGGGGTGACAACCTGGTCACCCTATAGATGCAAAGTGCTGCATTCAAATAAATTTCTATGGCAAGATGCCGGTGTTTGGCCGCAAATATCATAAATTTTTCATTTTGATCGAGTATAAAACACCCTTCAAGCGGTAGTGGGAAAGTATATAGCTTAAATTAAAAAATTTAGCCTTCTGATCGCTGCCTACAGCAAATTCTTGACCGTTGGTCATTTCCATCTAAGTAATTTGCATGGATAGGGTGATCCGGTTCCGCACCCTCACCCCCACGAAAAATGGAGGGGGTGACACCCCATCGTGCCATTCAGTCACCCCCAGGGGGTGAGCGGCGGTCACCCCCAGGGTGACCCTCTGGGGTGACCGCCCATGTATACTCTTACCTATATTTTTCTTCAAAACAGTGTGAAAACGCGTACTATTACTTTACTTGGCATCTTTGGACATACCGATCGGTGGTGGCTGCTTTTGCCATGCAACAAGCCTTTAATTTTCTCATCAACCCAGGGAGACGACATGGGAACAGGGGGTTCCCTGTTTTCAAATAATAAAGTAAAAAACTGGAATAATTAGGTGTCCTTCCCGAACCCTGCACTCCGATTCTTCCATTTCTTTTCCAAAACCCACTTTCAGTTTCACTTCACCCAAGAAGGCCCATACTATAAGCCAGACAAGGTTCGTTCTTCATTGCCACGACAGTTTTCTCGAATAACCTTTGTCAAAACACTATAAACCATGATTCTACAGCGCCTCCGTCGTGACGTTGCGGCTTCAGGAGCGCCAATCAAACGGATCCGCCTCCGCCAGCGCACCAAGCGAGATGACGACCCGAACGTGTTCATCTACTACCCAATCAATCCCACTTACAACGCCAAGTGCCGCCGGGAAGATTTTGACAAACTGGTTTGTCGTTCCTTTTCCTACTTGACTTTTGACTCTAGACTGCGAACGAACTGGCATTGGCGTCGATGAAGCTGCATTTTGGATGTTACGAAGGGACATGGTGCGAGGAGCAGAATGCCTTTCCGAGGTATCATCACAATTCATTCGTTCCAACCATTCTCCATCCCTTTCAAGTGAAATCTTGGCCAATGCCTCGCTGGCCCGCATCTGCTACCCGCGTCCGTTGAAGACCTACATCCTCGGCAAGGGCAGATACAAGCCGGTGAGTATCGTTTTGTAGAGAATCACATGGCGGTGACCAGTCCCCGTCCGAAGTCTGATGCCTTTTTCAGTGGTGCACCGATCCTCACGGCAATCAGTTCGAGCCGAAGAATGTGGCGAGTTGGGGATGTATGGTACTGCCGTTCTGCAAACTGGACCAACCGGGAGAATTCGATGAGTCAGTCCGCATCACAGTCTCATCCATTATCCCCTGTATTTTACAGACAAAAATACCTGAGACCTGTAGCTGAAAACGGAGATCTGCTGAACTGCATGGATATTTGCCCAAGAAACGAGAATGGCCGTGGATTGACGGACAAACCGGATTGTCGACCCATCCCTAGCAATCCGGAAAACGACTATTTCGGTGTCCTCAGCATTACGGTAGATATCTCTTCTGTATCGCCACAATACTCTTTACAGGAAAAGATGGATTGGTGTGACGCGGAGAAGTCGACTCACAAAGACCCGTGGTCACTCAACCCACCGTGCAATCCGATTCCGCAGTGTCGAGGAAATGTCGAAGGACGTGCTGTGGGTTTTCTAGTCGTCATCCACGCAGAAGATGATCATCTACCACGAGACAATTGCTGTATTTCAGCCGGATGCGAGGGATTGGCGCAAGAATCTGCTCTACTACCAGAAAAATGTCGACGGGGTCCCATGCGTCGTCTACAAGCAGTGCAGTGCTTTGACGGAAGAGGAGAGGGCAAAGGTGAGAGACTTGTAAAGGGATGAAGGTAGATGAACACTTCTTTCAGTACCATTGCGTCGGCTCGACCATGACAACGAGCACGACAAAAGCCTCGACGAGGACAACGGCAAAGACGACTGCAAAGACAACGACCGAGAAACCGAATGACGGGCTGGGGGATGAGGTCATTTTGATTGCAGGTAGAACATTTGGGCGTACTTGTTCAACTCGTTTCTGCAGCCTTGGGTGGCGGCCTCTGCGTGTTCATCATCGTGATCATCATCGTGTTGTGCTGCTGTCTGAAGAAGAAGGACAAGGGCCCGAAGGGAAAGAAGCCGATCGTCGATGACATGGTGGGTAGATGAGCAGCGTCTGCGGCTCATGCCAAATCCACAATGGCCTTTTTGTAGATGAACGTCGGCGCTGGCTCGGCGGTCGTCGACCTCGACGTGGCGCCGATCAGCAACACCGAGGAGGGAGCAACGGATGCTAGCGAAAGCACTGGCGCAAAGTGTAATTGCTCTGCGATATTTTGAGGAATATCATCAACTTTTCAGAACCATCCGACTACACATCTCCACCTACTCGACACAACGATGGGCATCGCCATCACTCGACTACCACCCAAAAATACCCGATGCTACACCAAAAAACGCCCCTCTAGAAGCCCCGCCCCTCTATCCCCATCTCTCTGTATTTTCTTTTGTAAATCTATGTTTGTCCATCATTCTGTTTGTCATCGCATGTAGTTTGTACCTCTGTCCCTTCGTAATAAATCGGGTGCTTGGGCTGTAATGAAACGGCATTATGCTGCCTGGTGAGGAAGAACACGAAGCTTAGAACGTCTGGAACTCAGCGTTGTGCCTGGCCACCGCCGCGATTCCACCACCAAAATTTAGCTCGGAAGGTTTTCTACCGATCGTCAGGCGGAGAAATGGTCGAAGTTTCCAGAAAAAAAGTTAGGAACGGCATTTAGTAAAGCTCGAGCCGATGTTTGGCTGTGCAGTGAATCTATACTTTATAAATTCTCGTATCATCAGTACAATCATTTATTCACATAGAATTTGCACAGAACACGAGAAAAGACACGTCGATATGTGAGAACACAGACGAAGAAGTCGACACAGCGGAAATTCGTCGAAAATCGATCGCAAATATGATGCTAAAAACCGAGAAGTTGATGATGAAGCACAGACACCAATGTATTCAGACCGTAGGACCCGTTTTGGTTGGCTCGAGACATTGGACCGGTGATATCCTGGGGGGGGGGGGGTGGGGACGATAGAGCGGATTTCGGTGAATTTGTAAAGGGTTTTGGCGCGTAATAAGCTCATTTTGGATGCTGGAATAGTTTAAAACATTGTACTAACATGTTTGTCAACTTGAAAGGTATATTTTTAAACGTTTTAGCTTATTTTGAAGCTTCTTTGGGTTTTTAGAGCCTGGAAATTGATTTTTCTCTGCTTTTTCGAATCTTCTAAGGTATCCCTGCGCCCAAAATGGTATATTTTACATACTTTTTCAACCGTATTTCGTATCAGATCGAACAATAAAGGAATTATAGGTATTTTTAAAGAGGAAAAGGAAGTTCAGGATCAAAATAGTCATTTTGTAGCGTGGGTGTACAGAAATTACATTACTTGACGACGTTGGATTCCAGAAATTTTCGATTTCTGCTAGTTTTTCCGAAATTCCGAAAGTTTACGCTTGCAAAAAAGACTAAAGAAGCTCTTATAGCCTGAGTTTTGGAAAAATACAGTACTTTACGACACTAGATTCCAGAAATTTTAGATTTTTAGTATGTCTACGACAATTTTCTATGTTTTTTTGAAATTCCGAAACGTTCCGCCTTAAAAATGGTTAAAATAAGTTCAATTTTGATCCTGATTCCTTAATATCGTTAAAATGAATGGGTGCGTACAATCAATAAATCGAAAAGCTCATGGTTCGTGGTGGGACCCAGGGAAGAAACGGGTCTCTTGGGGATGGGTGGGGTGGGGGAGGCCAACACATCGCCAGAAGACATTGAAGAGGGCGTCGAAGGCATCAAACATTCTCGATCCTCATCGCCCTCGTCTTCTTGCAGACCCAGGGAAAGTTTCGAGACGATTACCTGCAAAATTTAAGAGTTATTTCGGTTATTTGTCAGTTTTATCGAGCGTTGGGTCGACACCGGTTTTTATGAATATGCTAAATTCGTGCGATTCGTCGTTTTTTGCATGTTTTAGGCATAGAATTGTAGCTTTTGAAGAGATCTATCTATGGAAATACGTTTTAAATGAAATTGGAAATGAAGAAATAAGGTTGCTGAAAGTTAGGGGACGTCAAATTCTACGTTTTTTTTTCTATCGTTTGGTAGCTCTTGAAAAGTTCTGTAAGACCAAATACATTTTGACATCTAAAAACCAAAAAATTGGACAGTACGGTAGGCCGAAAGATTTTTCAACTTATAGAATAACCGTTAAAAACTGTCGCAAAGAGCGTAGAATGCTTAGATTTTTAAGGTTTGCAACCAATCTTGAGCTTTTTGGGAGCTCTATCTAGTGCGATACCTTGTCCAGCTTCAAAATTTGATGCGATCCAAGTAACGAGGTCAGCAAATTTTTGAAAATGCCAGAAAACCTTGTAAATCGTCATAACTTTGCATATAAATTTTTCGGTAAGATTTTGTGTACACCATGCAAAAGAGCTCGTAAAGTAGTTAACGATACAACTTTAAATGATCAAAATCGAGCCAATTCGAGCAAAGTTACGTTTTAATCAGTAAATTTCTAGAAATGTGCCAAAAAAGGCGTTTTCGGCTTTCTGATGCCTTTAAAGCCCATTTTCAAACCGTTACAAGTACTCACCCGTATCGCCGACATTCTGCTGCCTTGCCTCGATCTCGAAATCGAGTCATGCGAGCCAAGCCTCTCACGTGACGATGTCGAATTCTTCGAAATCTTCCTCACAACGGATCCCCCGTCCGCTGTGGAGGGCACTCCCAGTGTGAGTTTCTAAAAAACACCACCGATTAAATGGTTACGCCGCGATTTTCCGGAACTACAAACGCAATCCAAGCCAGGGGTTAACGCCAAAAATCATATCTATTCAAACGTAGGGGTTCAAACTTTTTTGGTGGTGAAAACTGATAATTGGGGAAGATGAGCGTGAGGAGGGAAGACGGCCAGGGTGTGTAGTGAGGTTAGTATTGTAGGGGAGGGCAAGGGAAGGGGTTTTGGTGATTTTAGAACGGTTTTTTGGTTCTTTCTTGTTGATTCTAATTAAAATTTAATTTTTTATAGCGAATTTTTAGCAAATCAAAAATGAAAACCCTATCCAAAGGTGCCAGAAATTAGAGTTAACCTATCGACTTTTAATGCGAAATACCTACATTTTGGCATGAAAAATCGTCATAACTAGTTTAGCGATAAAACAGGAGAAAACGGCTTAAAATTAGTATCACCGGGCAGGTGAAGTGGTAAAAATCAGAGGGTTTGGCACGAAAATTCGGATGCTACTTTTGTAGCCCCTAGTTTTGCTTTAAAGCAAGTTTCTCTAATTTATTACGCTATTATATTCATTGAAATTCTATTAAACTACTCCACTAAGATTAAACACCGCAAAAATAATCATTAAAATCACCAAAATCGGCTTAAAAACGTGTGGGGGAAAAGGGTAGGTGATGGGTGTGGAGGAGCCATGATATAGAAATGTGAACATGCTGTTAATATCTATATATAAAAAAATCATAAATACAGATCATTCCCTATAAGATATACGGTAGTTTACGGCATAATAAAGCGTGGGTAACTGAGGGGTTACGGTATCTGGGGGTGAGTGAGTGGGGGTATAACTTAAAAGAAGCACCTGGGTAAAACGACTATGCTCTACCAAAAAACCATGCAGGCGTGGCCCGACACTCACTAGGTCCACGGCCTCAATTCCAGGAGGGGGAATTTTTCAAGGCGTTTTATGACATTTAATGAAATAAAATAAGGTATATAGAAGGGATTGAAAAGGAATTTTTGCAGGACTGGAAATTATCAAAAAATAAAAAGATGAATATTGGGATTTTGAGGAAAATTCGGATCGATCGATTACGACATGAAATAAGTCTGGTGAAGTTTTTTGGAAAATTTTGGAAACATTGAAGTGTAATTTTAGATTTTTCGTGTGGATCTATTTTGTTAAATCTGCAATTTTGATCCCATAATTTTAAATACAGTTAAAATTTAAAAATTAATAATTAAGAATTTTTCCAATTCGCGAAAACGGCTTTATTTACACTTTGTAAAATTTGAATATTTGAAATTTCGAGGCTACTAATACCTTCGAAAGATTGTTTTAAATTCGTTAAAATATTTGAAAAAATCCCTGCTTTTCCAAATGGAGAAAAGGCATCTTAAACATTTAAAACCAAATTTTTAAAATTTAATTTTTAATTTTTAAGCTGGGAAGACCTTTAAAAGACCTGTTTTCAAGACCTGTTTTACGCTATTAAACAATTTTCCAAACATTTTGGCTACGTTATTTTCACAATGAATTTCCATAATTTTCCAGAAAAACCACCAGGACACTTTTCAAAAATTTCAATCCACGTGCACAACGGGTATTTTCAAAAATGAAAATTCGGGTCAAATCGGGTTTAAAATTTGAATTTTAAAGGGGTGGGTAACCTCGAAAAGGGGGACAGTACTCTTCTCGCTCCCTAGAGGGGATCACCTTTAGGCCGTAGAAGCGGAAGAAGTGGAAGAAGAAGAAGACGCAGAGGAGCGCTAATAAGTGCTCTAAACGACGGCGATTCGAACGAATTATAGGGGTACGGTAGGTAAGGGGCACTTTTTAGGGAATGAAGGCACATTATAGGAAGAACAGAACCACGGCAACGTTGCCTCTAACGGGCCAGTTTCCATCGAAACTTTCAATCTATCGGCTGCCGTCAAGGGGAGTGGTGCGGAACGGGTTACGGTAGAATACGGTAGTTGTAACAAGCTTTTATACTTTTTCGGATGTTTTAGCTATTTCAAAAGTTTGTTAGGTGCAAAATCACCTGAATTCTGAATTTTTCTTTTTTCTTTGTCTAATCGTTGAATTTATAAAGATACCGTAATTTCTAGATGTTATTGGTACAGAATATACAGAATTACATGAGTTTGATAGCTTTTGAATAAAAAACTCTGTACAAAAAAAAAAGAAAAATTTTTTTTTAATTTGAGGTCTAAACAGCGAAAAGATTCATTTTTGTTTTTATATGGGTTGATCGGTTACGCTATAAAATTTCTATATAAAATTTCAAAAATTTGTGTTTTTTAACGTTATTAATTGCCGTATTTTAATTTTATTTTTTGTTTTAATCGCTTACGCAAGTAAATCCTCAAAAAAACGGCGGGAGTGATTTCTTTGAAACTTTTAAGCTGACCGAAATTTTCTAAAAGAGTACGCTACGCTACTAAGAACGTTCATTAAGCCTACAGTACTCTACAGTACCATTCCGTTCCCGTTCCACACCACTCCGCTCGGCTACACCCTGGTGGGGGGAGACAGTTTTACG